TTGTTTGGTTTGTTTGGTTTTGTTGTTTTTTTTGGTTGTGGGGGGTTGTTTTGGTTCTGTATTTTTTTTGTTTGTTTGTTTTTTTGTGTTTGGTGGGTTTTTTATTTGTTTTTGTTTGGTGTGTGTTGGGTGGGGGTGTTTGTTTTGATGTTGGTTGGTTTGTTTTTGTTTTGTTGTTGTTTTTGGCTTTTTTGGTTTTGTGTTTTGTTGTTACGTAGTTTTGGTGTGGTTGGTGTGGTGTTGATTTGGGGTTTTGTTGGTTTTTGTTGTGTTGGTGTTGATTGTTTTTTTAGTGTTTTTGTTGTTTGGGTGTTGTTTTGGGTGTGTGGGGTGGTTTGTGTGTTTGTATCTGTTTTTTTTTGGTTCTGTGTTTTTTTTTTTTATTGGTTGTTGGGTTTTTGGTTTTGGAGTTTGTGTGGGTGTGTGTGTTGAGTTGTATTTGTTATTTGGTTTGTTGGTGTTTGTTGTGTGTTTTGGTTTGGTTGTTATTTGTGTTGGGTTTTGTGTGTTTGGTTATTTATTTGTGGGGGTGGTGTTTGTGGTTGTTGGTTGGTAGTTGTTTGGTTGTGGTTGTTTTGTGTTTTTGGTGTTTTTTTTGTGGTTGTTTGTGTTGTTGTTTTTGTGTTTGTGTTTTTGTGTTGTGTGTTTTGGTTTTTTTATGGTGTTTTGCTTATTTTGGGGTGGGCTCTCCTCCAGCCCCTCCCCATTTAAGCCCTATTAACTCATAAGTACGATAATGACTTAGTATAGGGATCGATGCACATGGTATATACCTGCATCAGAGGCTACGACAGACAGTTTATTTCATTGTATATATAATGTGCAGAGGTCCTACTCAGGAGGAGATTGAAAAGAAGCTGTTGGAGCAGATGGACGAAAGGTTTCATGTTGCACAGCACCAACTAAGAGAAGAGCTCACTAGAAAGGTATGACTGTCTATGGAAGAATCTTATGGTCTAAGGCTCTGGTATACGAGAGTTGGCAGCTCTGAACGTTGTGGAGGTGGTAATTATACTTACCCACAGTCATAGATGGTGGTCAATCCACTACAGCTTGTTCGCAAGTCACAGGCAAGAAAAATAGCTGCACTAGAACTCACGCAACTGTAATTAATGCAAGCACTCTACCAACTGAGCTACCAGGGCAACTCAGCAGGTAGGGGTTCAAATCTACAACACAACACAACACAAAACAAAATATTGTGCGATATGGCACAGTATATTCTCACCTTATATCAGTGGCCCTAGTGTTTGATCAGCTCTTGGCAGAAGTCTGTGAATGTGTGTACACTGTCCTTAAGGAGAATGAAAGCTTACAGAGTCAGGCTCTGGAGTTTGAGCAGTGGAAAGCAGCCCAACAGGAAATGAGAAAGGTATACTCTAAATTGTCTTAAGATCCTTAACCCTAAAAAGCGAGAAAAGGCATGTCTTTAGATGGAATCTAGACGCCATTGGCTACAATGCCTCTGCTCTAGCTTAAGCTTGGCTGTGCCCTTTGTAAAAGGTGGGGCACGTTGCAGTCAATGGCCTACACATTGCATGACTGAAAAAATTACTGCCAAAATATCCTAGGCCCTCTAAAACTTGAGTAGCAATGAGGCTTTTTCGGTTGTCAATTTATCTATATTGTAGGAAAGCGTACGAAAAAGTGAGAGTTTTAAAACGCTTCAAGCTTCTGGCTATACACTAATAACAGAGATTTGGCTTTCAGAGAGAACTGGAAGAGATGCAGACTCCATTGCTGGAGCAGCTAAGAGCCGTGGAGCAAGAAAAGGAGCAACTGCAGAAAGTAAGTACTTAACGCAAGCTTCTTCAGAACTCTGATGGAACTAGGAGCTTAATTGGACATACATACGGTAGTACTTGGGATTATAGGGATGGGCATGTTACCATGCGTAATAGATGATCGTATCTACATATTAGTCACTAGCAAGTCAAGTGCAGCACAGTGTACCATGCATGTCTGATTTACGAACCCCAGATAAAAGCTGTACTTTACATTCTAAAGCTCTTTGGTGCCTATATAAAAAGCAATTGCATGACATTTTGCTCCACTTATTGCAGGTCCTGCTAAAAACAAAAGGTCAGCTTTGTCACCTATAATACATCGACATTTCTTTTAGGATATGTCTAGTATAACTCCTATTATACATAGCTGAAATCGAAGCAATGAAAAAACTGACGCGGTCGCCGCAATCTGAAGATCCAGAGCCGAGTGGCAAGGTAAAGAAGGAAGAGGGACCTACCGAGACTGCTGATTCTACTGCTGTTGCTACTGATGTAAAGAGGCTGGAGACCAAAGTGAGATTGGAAACACATCGATCAGTAAAGACAGATAGGCTCATTGTTATGCAGCAGTCTAATGACTAGATGGAATGAAATGCATGCCGTCGTCTACGCATGACTCAGACAACTAAGTGGACTCACTTTGCTCGGCAATTATTGTTGTAGGTCGTGTCGAAGTGGAAGAAACACAAGAAAAGTGTGCACAGGCAAATGGAAGAGATGAACAAGTCCTATCAAGACCAGCTTCTGGAGGTACTACACTTGCAAGAAGTTTAGAGCGTGAAAAAATATTGCGATTTATAGCTGTCCAAGAAACTGGCTAGTATGGAGCAAAGTGCTAAGGCACAGCAGTTCCCTAAGGAAAAGAGGATGGGGAAAGAACTGAAGCCGAAAACAACGCAACAGATGCATACTCAAGCCCAAACAGTACCAGCCCAGCAACCGACCAATGGTATAAGACGCACGTACATATACAGGGAGAATATAAACGTAAATACGTCATGTATGTAGCCAATAGTCAATCTGAAGTATCGGAGGGCTCGGAAGAAGAAGAAGAGGATGAAGAGGAGGAAGAGGAGGAGGAGAGTGAAGGAGAAGGAGGCAGGGAGGAGACAGACGCTCCACACTTCACTCCATTTCCCAATAGGATCAACATTACCAGTGAGTTGTGTGCTCAGTGACTATCAAAACACAGCGAGTGTTTTGGTGTTACCGCAGCCTGGAGTCGACTTATGTATATGCCCTCAGTGCTCACAGCTTTCCCAGTATATATCAAGCTGTTTCATATTGCTGTCTTATATGTAGTACCTTATTGTACGGGATCCACCATACTCTAGATAGCGAGTCCTCACAGCTAATCTAGCTGTTTTCTAACTCACTTCAGTTGAGTTCCTACTGTTTATATATTAAGTCCTATACTGTATCTCTGCTTCCCTCTAAACCCTCTGCCATTATGGTCTCAGCTCTATTCAACCATGGACAAGAGGCAATGGAGAAAATCAGAAGAGAGACAGCCAACATTCTAGACAATGCTCTGTTGCAAAGAGGGGTCAATAAGGTATAATTCTGCTCTGATGCAAGAGTTCAACAACTTGTGGTACATGGATGTTGGTGGCTTGACTTGACTTAGATTCAGCAGCATAGATATAGAGTCCCTACATTCAAAATTTAGACGGGAAAAACGGATCCTTACCTAAATCCCACGGGGAAAAACTTTCACTGATGACTTGATAGTTTCGTCCCTTTAAAGTATTGGTTTAATGCAGGGCACAGTTGGTATGAGTGACGCTCTGTTGGAGAGCAAGATGAAGGCTCTTCAAGGAGACAGGCAAAAGAGAATTCAGGTGACTCAAGAAGCTTTACGGTGCATATGTGAATAGTGGCTGACTGTGTACACGAAAATTTCACAATAGCTTCAGTTCAACATTGTGAAAGTTCAGTAGCAAAACTTTTGGATGTAAACACATAATAAGCATAACAAAAATGTATGTACCCAATTCCAGATGCACTATCAGTTTATGGAGCAGCGTGAACATCTTACCAGTGAGATTGAGTTGTCAGCCAAGACCAACTGCCACTTTTCACCACCTCGGCACCTCCTCCCCTCATCCCCTCCCCCTCCCTCCTCTCCCTCCACACGCCGATCCTCGCCACGCAGAGCAACATCACCATTTAAGACATCTCCCCATCACAAGACCCCTCCACGGCTGAGCTCCCCACAGAAACACTCACCTCAAAGAGACTCTCCCAACAAACAACAATCACATGGTATATAGGGTCAATAGCGGTTGAGTTACATGCTGTCTACTAACTTTGGGCATAATATGTATGAACACAAAAGCCCATAGGAATGGGGCTCTTTAATGTAGATATTGGCCTCAAGCCTGGAAAGCAGAAGTGTTGTTGTCATGTATATCTACATTTCACATTTCGTAAGTGTACATGATTTTAAAATGTTTTTGCCATGTAGGTAGCGCCAAACCACCCACTGGACTACCAGCACAAGCTCAACTAGGTATAATTATATGTAATACTTGTGGGGTGGAGGATGATGGTTTCGTGTGTTCATTATCCAGAACTTAACCAGTGTGTATAAGAATGTTTGGCATGGATTATGATGATGTACAATTTATCTGTTCTCTAGCACGTTCCCAGCAGAGAGTTAGAGCGTCAAGACCCACTAGGGGGTCTCAAACCGAGTCATCCGAGTCTGAGACCGAGACAGAATCGGAATCAGACTCCGAGAGCTACAAAGAAGACAACCAACCGGCCGCAGTCAACACTGTGACTGTTGCCCCAAGGAAGAGGGGAGACAATGGCAGGCAGGGAGCGGGAAAGGAAGTTGAGAAGCGTGGGCAGTCTAGGGTCAAGGTGCCGGCTGGTTCGGTAAGAGTACTTCCAGACAGTGGGAGGACATGGGACAAGGGAGACGAAGAGCTGCAAGAAGGGAAAGCCAGAGGGGGAGGAATGGATGGGGAAGATAGCTCTTGGGATAGGTATGTAAACCCTTTATTGATGGGAAACAAATCCCCCAAACAATTTTCACTGTACGCTATTTGTCCAAGCAAGATACCGTATTCATGTCACAAATTTTTCTTTTCTCTCTGTATTCGCATCACAAATTTTTTTCTTTTCTCTCTTTTTAAGTGAGGATAGCAATGACCACCTAACAACAAAGGATCTAATGAGTGTTCCAACTTCAACTCCAGTTCAGGTACGCAGATACAGTTTTTGTGGCTGTTCACTGCAAAAAATGCTTTGCTTATTTAGGTGATACCAGTCAAGAAAGCCAAGGTAACATTGCGTGTTTTTGTGTCTTAGCAACTGCGAGTGAACCTTCTCAGCTAGTGTGGTACACACACATACATGTGATTAATGTACGTATGCAGATAAATGATAACAAACTGTTGAATAATAACGTAGGTAACAAAGAGCGGTAATGAACAAGACTCTCAGGTATATATAAAACTGGTTGTGATACAGTCAGTGGCATATTATGTATTGTTCTATGCAGGAATTGTCTGATAACAGTTGGGACGTGACTGAGATTAGCAGCGAGTCACAGCCTCACACAAAGAGGTGCGTTCGCACTGTGCCACAAGATACAGTACTAGAACAAATGCAACGCATTTTTGACGAGCGAACACGAGCAGTTCAATTATCCACACGCCTATTTGGAATCACGTTAAACATTACAGTATGTGCAGTGGCAGTGCCCGTCACATACGATGCAGTATTAGTGTGGTTTTACTCATTGTGTATTATGATATAGGACTGCCGCAGTTCCCCAGCACGACACTAGACATGTGAAGCTAGCTTCAACACACTCAGGTCAGATTATACGATTAGTGGGAGTTGTCGTCACCTGTCTTCATAGGATGGGATATTCTCCGCAAATGTACAATTCTTTCTATTGTCGGTATCACAGTGAAAATGGTAGAAAGCCTCATTTATACCTTTCTTCGCACCTTTAGCATGTTTAGCATATAACGGGAGATTTTTTAAGGGTTACAAATTTTGTAGGTGACAAATTTCATTGTCCCCACCCACGAAATTGGCAGAGAATAGTTTTGCAGTTGCCTCTTAAACAGCTTTTCAAACTCGATATTTCCCATAAATGTGACTCCAAAACCATAGCAGGTTGAACATTAATTAACATAAACAACTTACAGGTAACTCCCAGTCGGCTCTGACGACCGTGACTCGTGGAGATTTTGATGACTCTGATCTTTCAGATATCTCAACCACTCAACTTACCTAACTGAGCCAATAGCTATTATACCACATGATAGCTTCAAACCACTAACAGATCTTTAGTGCAAACGTTTTACAGCGATTGAGATTATTGCTAAACTATGAAATGCTGCTTACCTTTGCATTATATACGACTGATGAATAACTTATTAGTATGATGAACAATGAATGCAGTGTGCCATGATACGTAGTAAAAGTATAGAGTTATTGATCAGCATTTGTTTCTGTCTGAAAAACAAATGTGATTTTGTCTGAAGCTTCAATCAGTGCTCCGTCCTAAAACACAATTGAAAACAGACCCATTAACAAACCTGATAGTGGTGCAAAGACCAACAACTTTGCTGTAGTTCACCCATTAGTATTACGTTTATAGTTGTTGAATCGGATCACCTTGCACACATGATAATGGGCATGGGAAATGTGAGGAAGAATACACTCGCAAAAAAGAACAGGTTCACAAGACTGTACGTACCCCTGTAGCCAAGTTAACAAGTTTCTGGCTGTAAATGTGGAAGTGGTTAACAATCATAAAAGAGGTATGCCCACTTCCATGCTTGGTTTAACATCAGACCACATAACCCTAAGTTAAGCATGCAATCATTGCAAGTTACCATCAAATCACTCTCCCGAATTGGCTTGAAGTAGTGTTTCCAGTCCAGTAGTTCACCCATAGCTATAACCTGGAGAGTCCACAAGAATTCACCACAAATTATACTCCAGTACGAACAGCACGGTACATACCCTCTGTTCCACTGGAACTGATGAACAACCTCCCTAACAGAAGAAAAAAGATAAAAATTACAGTAGCATTACTATATAGTTGCATTTGAGACCTGCTCATTCGTGCAGTTACATTCCAGAAGGTCGTGAGTATCGCAGAATGTCTCGGTGCGAAGTCGATAGAGATCCTGTAATGCAGAAATTATTTGCAAGTTAGTGGCGTTTTCATAATAGAGCTTCAGAGTAGTTAGCACGAGCAAGCCAACCTAACGCAACTACACTTTTCTAGCTTTCCATTTGTGCATGCCCGTGTGCAGTTTCCGTGACTGACAATAGGGTGTGTTCAAACACCATTACACCAGGGATTGTAGTGTGTGTATCTGGAGGCTTGTATACATATGAACACACCTTCAGTTCTTCAGATGAGAATTTGACGGCGGTTTGAGCACTGCCTGCTCTTGCCTCCATCACCTCAGCCAAGCCAGATTTACTGATCTGACGCTGGTATATCTTCTCTTCTATGGAACCCTTTAACGTGATACAGGCAGCCCCTTTATACTCACCAATCATTCAGAGCTGAACTTACAGTGGTTAGAAGACGATAGATGTGTACCTTTCTCTTTTGCCCATCCTCCATACCCTAGCCATGGCCTGTCAGGTACAAAGACGTGTGTAATACCCATCATTGAGATTACTTTCAATTTGCACTTGATGACGTTTGAACAACAGACACCTTCTGCCATGGAGAACCTATGTAGAAACCTTCAGCCCCAGAGAACCTAGATTAGAAACCTTCTTCAAGTCTGTACCCAATGTACCCACCTGACATTGATAATGCTGGCTTTGTGTTTTAACAGGCACACAAGTATATACATAGGCCACAGATACAAACGATCATTCTTGGAAGCAAGCACCTCCATAGGCAATGGCCTTGCACAGCATACATACATGTACGTGATGTTCACTTAAAAGTGCAGTGTTTCTGAATAAAAAAACTGTGTATATAAAAAAAATCCACTTGTCATGCGTGATAAAATGTTGGGTATAGAAACCTGGAGGTCATTGGCAGGGTTCCAGTCAATGTCATAGAGTATGAGTCGAGATGCTCCTATGAGGTTTAGTCCCACTCCACCAGCCTTGGAGCTTAGGAGGAACACCACTGGAAAGAGAAAGAGGATAGGGGGAGTGAGAAAGGAGACATGCACATAGGAGGTAGAGAAGGGGAGCAGGAGGCAGAGAAAAGGGGACAATTAGGGCTATTATTTCAGGCAGGCTTATGGACGGTTCACATGACTAACGTAAGTGGGTTGAATCTGGGTTAAGTGATAGCGTTCGACCCACCTTACCGGCCAATAGGGTTCTACCAGGTTTCATAACATATGTACGTGCCATGTGAACATAAAGTTAGAGAGAGATGAAGAAATAGACCTCACTACTACTGCAGAGAATGGAATACAGTTCTCCACTTCCAATAGGGTAGAGAGAAGAGGGGTTTGTACGTAAAGAAGTGAGGCAAGGCTCTGACCAACTTTGAGGAGTGTATTGGCTGTTGAGGTGCTCCACGAGCTGCATCCTCTTGCTGGATGGAGTGGATCCATCGAGTCTCGCACACTCATAGCCACACTCTCCACACAATCTCTCCAGTAGGTCCAATGTCTAGTATTGATAGTGCATTCTACATTGGTAACATGAGCTGTACACTGTATGAACCACACGCACGTCGATTCTGCACATGGAAGCTGTAGTACAGATATAGCTCAAAACTCAATATTTATGTTGGTTCAGTGGGCGCCTCGTTAAAAAGGGCTAAAACACCTCCTCTTAGCAGTGTGCCAACGTATATACACTTTTAGGAAAAAGACAGAACTTCGTATGTAGCTATAGCCGTACACAGAGCCATTTCTATCCAGGTATATAAAAGTGGTGGTGAGATGGAGACGAAGTACATAAGCCAGAGTCTCTACATTTCTGTCTGTGCCAATGAGTATAGATGCATGTATATACGTACGTACTGACCTGAGTGTAGTTGGAGACGACGGCTACCTTCTCTTGCGTGTGGTTGAAGAGATATCGCAGAATGTCGCGGAGGACTCGCAGCTTCCCGGAATGCTGCGTCACGTCTTCAGTGGGAGAGAAACCGGGCGGGAAGAGAGGCAGCACGTCGTACATCACAGAGTTCTCCTACGGTGCACGAAGAAAGAATAATCAATGGAACGAAACAAGTGGAAATGACTTTCGTGGGATGTGGTATGGAGATCATGGTATGAAAAAGAAAGGGAACAAGGGGCCTAGCCTACTGAGACAGAAATTCATAGTATACATCGTCTGTTTGCATCTACTACGTTTTGTATGGTGCAATGAATTAGTTCTACAATCAGTGTTAATTAGTATCCCTTGATTACCCTGTTTCTTGAACGTACTACCATTTCAGGGCAGTTCAATATTTCACACGTATTTAGAATCACGGTAACATTACGGTATGTTGGTCGATTCACTGATAGAAAAATTCTGCATTTAGAAGACTAGACAGGCTCGCTTTGCCCGCCAAATACGTAGTATTTCTCACATCAGAATGGTCACTGTTAGCTTGAGCTGCAGTGAACAGGAGACTGGGAGAGTTGCACAGTTTCTTCAGTGCCCCGATGCACACCAGATGTTGAGACATGTCGTTGGAGTGACTGGTGCGGAGCCTTTGCAGCTGGGCTTGCGCGAGGTGGGAATAGAGGGAGGTTTGGAGAGGAGACAGGGAGCAGAAGACCACCGATTCAACTGAGGAGGCAACACAATGAAGCAAAGTGCATTTAAAATAATTGCTATTTCATATTCCCAATCGTTCAGAATTAGCAAAAGCTATTGAACTTGATATTTTATGCACACCAAGTCTTAAACATGTAAACAGTGCTTTAAACCAAAACTGAATCAAGAGACGAAAAAATTAGTAAAATACTATAACTCCTTGTGTGTATACTGTGGTGTGCGTGTATGAACAAACCTTTAGGAAGGAGATATTGGTGGTTGATGGCTTGTGTTCTTCTCAGGAAAAACTGAGATATCAACCTGTTCAGCTGAAAAAGAAAACAGTGCATCACACGCTTATGGTAGCATTGCCGACATGAACATCGCAGCCAAATATTTCCGTGACAAACAGAGTGACTATGAATATAATAGGTACTCCAGAAATAGGTACGTACTTCGTCAGCTCTTCTGCTAGCGATGTCCTTCTCTTCAGCCGTAGCAGACGGCTCCTTGCCAGCCATGATTGGCTGCTCATACACACGATGAAAAGCTGATCGAGAACCTATAGATGTACAATCACATGTACTATACCATTTTTGCCGCCACGTAAGTTAACACTATCCTCGTTCATTTAAAAAATCACATTTGACATGTATGCCATTGAGGACCTCACTATTTCTTATGGAATCCTCAAAGGTCACCAATGTATACAACGTATGTAGTGTTAGGAGACGGTCTGCGAGGCAACACACATACACATTACAGTTCTTTAGTACGTACCAAGCATCCCTGGGTTGCAAAATTCGATGATAGAAAAAAACTCCTGTAGGTCGTTCTACAAGAAAAAAATTTCCCACGGCAAACAATAGGTAATTTTCACACAGCAAACCAATATGAATGGTTCTCACTTGAATAGGTGTTCCAGTGAGCACAATCCTTTTTCTGGTTGGTAAGCTCATAATCAACTGCAATAAGAGATATTAAGAAGTTCTCAATCTAGTTAGAATAGTTACTGAACCACATAACTCATTAACCCTCGGCGCGCATGCGCAGCGAGGGTTACAGTACTTGGGTCTGTCTCTGTGTGTATGTGTGTGTGTGTCTGTCTGTTACTCTACATCTCACTTCTCGAACGTCTGTTCGTCGCAGAAACGATACCATCTACCCAACGGGCGGCGAAGGTCAGAAAATAAAGGCGGTTTTCTCTGAAAGTGCTCTGTTGCAAAGCTAGAGCGCTTCCGGCATTGTAAATGCGTAGTCGGGCTTTTTTTTTTATCGCTGCGGAAAACGCGCATGCGGTTATAATGCTAATTAGCACAAACTTACCTCGACCGGGCCGCTTGCTCTGTGTATCTTGAAGGCATAAGAAGTCACAACGAAGGGCCTCCCGCATGCTATTTACTACTGTAGCTCGTCCGTGTCAGACTCTCCGCGAGCTACTAGCGTGGATACCACGAGTAAACGCATACTAAAAGCCCAGCCCATCAATTACTGGTACCGCGCGTGCGCAGTTCGCCGAGGGTTTGCACTTCAGTGCTTTTCATTAGTTACTGCACTCCCCATCCAATAAATGGTTTTACAGGGAGGCGGGTGAGCAGGCACCATGTGTCTACAGGTACAATATCTCACAGAACAGACAGCCACAACTTGGGACACAATACCGTATTGTGTGAACTCTGAGGTTGTAGAAAGGAAAAGGCACAACACACAAGTAAACTACATACACCAGCACCACAAACACAGATGTGGCATACAGTTGTGGTCTTGGTGGCGTTGTTCTTCAGTCTGTGTCCCTCGTCGCAAACAATCACGTCAAATTTCAGCTCCCTCAGTGACTCGTGTGTTCTCAGGAACATCTCGTAGCTTATTATCACCACCGGATACCGTGGCGACTTCACAAACTCCTGTAATTCAGTTTTGAAGGCAAACTAAGATCACAGTCATTTTTCTCTTTTACTATATCATAATGGCAGGTGCACAATAAATCATTCTTCCACCTTTTTCGCGCTACTCGGTTCTCAAACTAAGATCACAATCATTATTCAATTATAGTTCATAATGGCAGGTGCGAGCAATAAGCCTACTTAGTCATCTGAATGTGAGATTTTCTTAATCAGTCACCTTCCTGCTTTATGTAAACCCCATTGAAATTTAACACAAGTCGCTTGCGTTGTATTTGTTTTAGTAATGTCATGTACAGCTAGTGTATCCCATGTGTAAAGCAGTACAGAAGTATAGTGTGTATGTGATAAGCTATAGAATCATACCTCCAATCTGTTGTCAGCGGTGACAGCAAACACCATCAACCTCTCTTTACCAAGCCACTTCCCAAACTCCTTCTCCCAGTTCTGTAGTTACCACGACAATAAAACCGGTGCAAATCACCAATAAAAGCGGTCAACTGGCGAGCGTGGCATACTAAAGCACTCAAAATTCCACAAAGTGAAATAAAGGAACTTCTACGAACTACATAGCATGCGAATTATGAGGTAAAAACTGTTAAATGTGTGACATTCCCATCTCTACAAAATCTTTTTTTGGGAACTGCTATAGTTTTTCTCCCGCTGTCCCATATTATGCTAATGCTACAACGTATGTGAGGACCTTGACAAGACTGCCAGGTGTTACAATCACAACTCTTCGAGCCACTTGCTTCCTGCCATACGGTCCCTGCTTCAGTAGTGTCCTGAGGATTGTGGAATATATCGTACATGAAAACAGCAATGAGTTTGCAAGGGCAAGGTAAAGCGACTACACCCAGGCAGGATCAGGACCAGAACATGGTTTTGTATATACAAGACTCACCACAGCAGTGTGATGCATTGCAGTGTTTTTCCAAGACCCATCTCATCCCTGTGGCCGGGAAAGACGCAATGATTTACACATTTCCAACACATCTTTTAGACGCCCAAAGTCTTCAATGTATATATATATAGGTACATATGATATGCCTGAAAGCAGCACAAACATTCAATCACATTGAAGGAAAAAGCTGCATGTACAAAGTATTCTCACTCTGGGTATTAGCTTTAGCACACTTTATTGGTCTCTATCATAATGTATGGCCTGAGGCTATTGTTGTTTAGCTCATACATTAAGTTGCGGGGCTGTCTTTTGCCAGCATTTACAGTGTGCTCATGAACCCATACATAAAAGGAGCAAAACGTTAAACTGCCCGTCATGAACAATGTTGAACTGCTTGTCATTGGTTTACTCACGCGAGGATGGCCCCAGAGCCGGCGTAGTCCCTCATACCCATGACACACTCGTAGAGGAAGATGACGCCATCTCTCTGGTGAGGTCGGAGACAGCGGGAGAGATGAGGGTCCACTACCACATCAACTAGGGCCAGTCCACTGATGTTGTGCTCCAGCTTGCAACGAATAGATAATAAACTTTATCTCTGTTTCCATTAATACATACTCTGCACATTACTGGGAGTTTTGCAACAGCTCTGGGTAAAGCCACACTTGCTAACTTGTACAGATCTTTGTGTGTATATATCTGCATGTATTATACAAGGGGAAATATCCCTCCTTCCCCTAACGTAGAAAAAACTGTGCTATGATAGTAAAATAAGTGAGCATAGGTTCCCGATTGAGTATAGGTTACTTTGTCAGACAGTAAGAGGAACACAACTGCATACACAAGCACAAGCCTAATTGCATTGGGAGCAAAGAAATGATATTTGTTGGAGACTATAATGTATAGCCGCAATATATACCTGATGCTGTGCTGTAGGTCTTGGCATGACAAGGGAGCCTCTCAGACTCGGGTCATGTAGTGGCTGTACAACTCGAGGCTATGCGTCACACACACAAACACACACCACAGTTATTGTTTTTCTCTCCGCCACTGTACACTGTACAAGTCCGTGTGTGATGAACTTACAGTCGTGGTGTGTTTCATTGTTTGACCAGACAGCGAGGGTACAGCGAAGGGTTTCCTCAGAGCCAAGGGCTGCTCAACAACAGACACTGCATGGATAAAAAACAATGCTCGGTGAATCTACAATAGAACACACAAGCCCTTATAATGTCTCGCATTGCACTGGTTACCATGTAATACCTACGAAGCCTTCAAGGGCTGATTTTCATTGTTACTGAAGTAAAATTATGTGGCATCAGTAGCATTGCCCCATCGTGCAATGCCGCGAAGATTAGTCTATTCTTGTGAAGTGGAATCGCGGCAAAGTATGATGCAGCAATGAACTTGTGATATACATAGCTTTAGCTTTAGCTAGTTAGTGTAGTGGTGTATACATGTACATGATATATATATAAATATACCTGAATTCTTAGGAGCAGCCAGTGCACCTGTGAAACAAGTTCCATTCTTCCAGTTCTCCTCACTAACCACGTCCATCACCTGTCAAAATATTATCATGTGAGTCAAGCAAACTGCAGGCTGTAAACCAAATTCTGGTGGCCTTTATATGTGGCACACTAGTAGTCTTGCAAACCTATTATTACCTCGATTTGCTTGCCTCCAACGACTAGTGTACTTCCTTCCACCAGTCCTGACAGCTCACTCAACTTGTATCCAGTCGCCTTCCCAATTCTAAAAACACACGAATAATCTCTTACAGTGCAGAGCATGAAATATTCACTGTACATGCTAACATTATAACGATGAGCTTTGTTGGTTTACAAGGCTGTTGTGTATTAGCCTGAGGTTCCACCACAATTAGAGCCCTCCCAGGAGGACTACTGCCTTCTTTTCAAAGTGATTCATTCCCTAATATTGCTTATGGACACAGACTTGGATAGCTAAAGACAATGTCAATGTAGAAGGAAAATGCAGCTGAAAAAGCCTCACACTTTTCCTTCGGTGTCTGTCAGAGTAGCACTACTTCCCCGAGTCATCAGAATGGCTGTCTCGGAAAAATCACAATCACTTAAATGACGACTTTCAACTACGTGGACTATAGGCTCTACTTATGATACTTACCATCTCCTTCCCACTTTTTATGCTGCAAAAATTAGACATCAACTAAATGTCTGTCTGTATGTACGAAAGAAACTTGCCTTCTTGCTGGAATGCTTGCACCTATGAGACAAAATAATATGCTCTAGCTACAAACTGCAGGGGAAATGTATTACACTTACCACATGACTTGGTAGTAGGAGGCGGCCTTTGGCTCACTGCTAGCCGATGCCTTGTTGGTGTTCTTTACGGCTGGCCGAGAAAGAGGCCCTGACTGCGACTGTATGTTCGACTGCCAGTTGGGAAAAACACACTGCCTGTAAGACATCGGACTAAATTTTCAGGTACCAGAGGGAGGGAAGATGAGGTCTGAGAGACGAATGGAGGAATGAATTTTGTTTTCTTGCTCGCTGAGAGCGCGGACGAAGGAGCCAAGGAGCGCTTCATGGCGGTAGAGAGACTGAAAAGAGACAGAACTTTGGGTTGGCCCGCTAGCTATATACCCGCCAAATGGCGCCAAGACTAGCGCGCGCCGCCATGAGGTGTGGGCCGCCGCGCCGGCGGCCTCTCTCTAGCTAGCTAGCTAGCTAGCTAGGCTAGCTATATAGCGATCTAGCTGCACCCCGCTTTGGGGGGCGGAGTCTCGTGTACTCCAATAATCGCACACTATCCTCGTGCAGAAGGATCATCATGAGCAGCGTTGGGGAGGAGCTGTCCACACTCAAAGACAAGATCTCCAAAATTCCCAACGCTGACGTAATATCTTGCCATCCTTCGCTGGTACAAATAAAAATTAGGTGAGTATTCTCATCATGTGGGTCTCATTATTTCGTAATCTTACACTTCAGGCAGACTGACCATAGGCAAGTGAATGTCTGTTGCCAATTCCCTGAGAGTTACCCATCGAGACCACTTCTAGGTATATATAGTACGTACTTAGAAATTGTATAACCGCGATTGCAACATACCAAATGCCACAATAGCTAAAACGGCTCTCATTGTTCTCGCCAACATAAGTGCACTCTGATAAAATTTTTCCACTGGTTTTTTTCCGTCTGCATACTACGTTTTAGTGCTGGAAGCTTTATTCTGTAGATAGTATGTGTCTGATATAGTACATACTAATGTTGTAAGGGCTCCGTGATGCTACTACTGTATTGTTTTGTGCTCCCAGTTGAGCTGAAGAGCAAGACGATAGCTGACAGAATGCTCGAGGGAATGGTGAAGGTGTTTGATCAGGAACTGCTCAGAATATCAGGACAGCCTCAGGTACATATAAACACTGCTGTATACCAGATTTTCTGTGAATTTTTAATTTTTAATTTTTGTGAGGGCATCATTGCTTGATTTGGAATGTGCCTTATGCTCATGCTTTAATCTCACCCACAAGGAAAAGGTGTGTAAATCGCTCTTGGGACCAGGTACAGGACTAATGCTACACAAACTTCACCCCTGTGCCAAATATTAATTAACTTAGCTTACCACGTGTGTGTGTATACATACGTACGTTTTATTGATGCAAAACTAAAAGCTTTTTGATACCTTAATCCACTTACTCGTCCCCCTATGAATATGGTTGTACAGATTGTCCACCTGGTGAGGTTTGTGAGTGAATTTCTGACCAACAATCCGTTTGTGGTTTGTTCGGAGGAGTTGAACCACGTGAAGCACAAGTTGGCGAGCGAGGCAGACACTCTGAAAGTGAAACGCAAGACTGGAGTCATTCTCTATAAGGCAACTCAGAATAGGTCTGCTTCGGTGTAGTTGTGTGCCTGAAATATACAGTGGAACCCCTCTAATCCAGACACCAATGGGACAGAAGAAAGTATCCATATTAGTGAGGTGTCCTGAGCATTATACAGTGGAACCCCTCTAATCCAGACACCAATGGGACAGAAGAAAGTATCCTACTAGAGAGGTGTCCTTATTTCGGGGATCACTGACTAAAAAAGAAAATGTGTCCTTATTAGAGAGGTGTCATCATTTCAAGCGTGTCTGAGGGGGTTCCACTGTTGTATGTATGTATGTATGTATGCAGCCACGTGTGGTAATCAGATAGGAAACTGCGTCTATTTGTGCAGTAATGGAATGTGCTTATTCCCAGTGCAGCTACTTCATAGACTTCAGAGTGGCTCTGCCAGACGACTACCCTAACCAACACGTGAGGTAAGTACTTATCTCTCTCATAATTATTAATTCTATGGACAATTGTACAGGGTTAATTATATACTGCACTCTCCAGCTATGGTAAAGGTGTTCGAGAGATTTTTTGGCTTGTCCATCGCTCTGATTGCTTGCTAAAAATACGAAAGTATAGATCCCTATTTCTGGATTCCTTTAACTGCACTCTCCAGCTGTAGTCAATATTTTCTGGATGGTTGGTTAGCCTTTACTTTTTCTCACTTGCTTGCTAAAAGTACGAAAGGTTTAGACCATAACTGCACTCTCCAGCTATATTCAATGTTTACTGGATGGTTCGTTGTAGTCTCCTTTTTCTCACTTGCTTGCTAAAAGTACGAAAGGTTTAGGCCATAACTGCACTCTCCAGCTATATTCAATGTTTACGTGATGGTTCGTTGTAGTCTCCTTTTTCTCACTTGCTTGCTAAAAGTACGAAAGGTTTAGGCCATAACTGCACTCTCCAGCTATATTCAATGTTTACTGGATGGTTCGTTGTAGTCTCCTTTTTCTCACTTGCTTGCTAAAAGTACGAAAGGTTTAGGCCATAACTGCACTCTCCAGCTATATTCACTGTTTACTGGATGATTCGTTGTAGTCTCCTTTTTCTCACTTGCTTGCTAAAAGTACAAAAGGTTTAGACCATAACTGCACTTTCCAGCTATATTCCATGTTTACTGGATGGTTTATTGTAGTCTCCTTTTTCTCACTTGCTTGCTAAAAGTACGAAAGGTTTAGGCCATAACTGCACTCTCCAGCTATATTCAATGTTTACTGGATGATTCGTTGTAGTCTCCTTTTTCTCACTTGCTTGCTAAAAGTACGAAAGGTTTAGACCATAACTGCACTCTCCAGCTATATTCAATGTTTACTGGATGGTTCGTTGTAGTCTCCTTTTTCTCACTTGCTTGCTAAAAGTACGAAAGGTTTAGACCATAACTGCACTCTCCAGCTATATTCAATGTTTACTGGATAGTTCGTTGTAGTCTCCTTTTTCTCACTTGCTTGCTAAAAGTACGAAAGGTTTAGGCCATAACTGCACTCTCCAGCTATATTCAATGTTGACGTGATGGTTCGTTGTAGTCTCCATTTTCTCACTTGCTTGCTAAAAGTACGAAAGGTTTAGACCATAACTGCACTCTCCAGCTATATTCAATGTTTACTGGATGGTTTCGTTGTAGTCTCCTTTTTCTCACTTGCTTGCTAAAAGTACGAAAGGTTTAGACCATAACTGCACTCTCCAGCTATATTCAATGTTGACGTGATGGTTCGTTGTAGTCTCCATTTTCTCACTTGCTTATTTAAAGTACGAAAGGTTTAGACCATAACTGCACTCTCCAGCTATATTCAATGTTTTCTGGATGTTGGATATTTTTCGACAACTTTTTTCTAAAAAGAAAGGGCTTCCAACTTAGCCATGCTCAACATGATGTTCTCACACAGACTGGATATCAAGGAGACCAATTTCCCGCCAGAGCTGATGACAGTCATCACAGGTCATGTGATGGAGAGACTGAGGCGGTGTGTGGAGCCACCTCTCAACAAACCAACGTCAGTCACACTTCGCGCTCCCATTTGCTTGCCAATGTATTGTGAACCCTCCAAAAAAGCTCCCTCCTGATAAAGGACACCTCTTTTTAAAGTACACTTGTTTCTACCCCATACTACTACAACAATCTATTATATACTACCTCCAGACGCCTCTGATTAGAGGATACTTTCATTGTCTCCACGATGTCCCTTACTGTGTTTGAGGAATGTGTATGGTGTGTATATACATGTTCTTTGCAGGGACCCAGCATTTGAGCCAAGGCCCTCCCTCCGAGTGGCTGTAGATTACGTGGTTACAGAGTGCGTCAGGAAATACCCCCTAGAGAAATGCTCCATCTGTGAGCTCACTGCACTACCACATGATCCTCAGGTGATGTCACTGCACCATCACATGATCCTCAGGTGATGTCACTGCACTATCACATGATCCTCAGGCGAATGTGCACATGTATGCATGCCATATACCCACAACTCATGAGAAGTGTTTACGTTGAACTAACTACAAGTCTTGGCTTGGCCCTCGTAATGCTAACCACAAGGCATGTGCTTTCTGTGACACTATTATATAATATTATGCTTGCATATCATACTTGCCTACCATATCTTTGGATTCGTGTATTACACAGAGCGTGGTAAAGGATGAAAACCATCCACAATATGTGTATCGGATCTACTGCGGACACTTGTACCACAGAAAATGTATAGAAGAGTACCTCAAGAAACCTCCTTTTAACGGTAATTACTGTATAAACCTTGTAAAATACTGTAAACCTCCCTTTACTTCTGTATTGGTACAGTACAAATGATGTGAATAAATTGCATGGATGAATGCTCCAAAATTTTTATTAGCCTTTTCATTAAACCATGCCAAGTTTAATAGTACGGCAGTTTTTAAAGGTAGTTAGGTAGGTATATAGTAAAGGTATGGTATGTGTATACTGTCGTGGTTAATGTTCCATTAGACCGTGACATTACCTTAGACAAATGCACGTCTACTTGAGTACACATCAGCATTTCAAAAATGACAGTTCGGAATGAGAAGGTCGGTACCCCGCACTATTATAGCAATTGCTCAAGTGCTAGAGTTCAACGTATCTTTACGTACCATGCATAACATCACATGCTCACATTTTATACGCTGATATCTATAATCCTACAAAAGTACACTTTGAATATCTCAACAGCATTACCTGTCATTCTACAGAGATGTGTAGTTCCACACACAGCATGCCAGTCCAGCCCACTAGCATGTTACCAATTACCGCGTAGGAAGCTGTGGCTAGAGGTCAATTATATCACCAAAGCAAATGCGGGGATGTGGGTCCCTGAAATGATCACTCTTACTATCCAGACATTATTACTTATTAGTCACAAGCATTGGTACATGCCAATCTACGCATACTGTGTATTATACTTGCAAGCAAAAGCAGTAGGCTTAAGCCATTTATTTTCTAACTTTGTGCACTTTTGATAAAAACCTGCACGACTACATTTCCTAGAAATCACACATGAAACCAGCGATGACACCGTCACACAGGACACCGTATACATGAACAGAACGAACGTGGAGCAATTCTGGCTTGCCAAACCAAAGATATGTTTGGCTCCTTCATTCAACAGGCTTACTAACTTCCCTCACAGTATAGACTAACACTTATGCATAAGATGCCAGTTTACCAACAAGTGATGTAAAAAGTATTGACTTGCATGAAAATCTCTGTTCCAATGATGCAAACAAAAGCCCGTTCCTTTTTGCCGCACTTTATAATTGTTCAGGCCTTGATGTTCATCTGCCCATGCACTATACGCCCCCACCTCCTTGGGATTGTATGTGTCATTATTGGACATGTATGGCACACAGGGGGCAAGAAATGTGTGATATGTGGAGAGAGAGTGGCTCACGACAAATGGAACATTAGTCCGCGACTGGCAGAGCAGCGCTGGGCACAACATCAGGCCAGACTCAGAGAAATCGACGAAGTTGTTGATTTTTTATCGTGACGTAGGATTCTAATTACTATTTATCTTATTGCTGTAACCCTTTCTTTAAAGCTCAGTTAATGCACAAACCCATTTCTGTCTCATAAATGAAACAGGAAAATTTGGAGATAGAAAAAAAACTCGGCAAATTTCTCTCAATTTTAGAAACGCGTGCAATTTTGTTGCAAGTTCACTTTCACTTTTATGGGACTGTGATTATAGGGCTTATAATAATATAATTATGTACATATTTTCATTTGTGTCGTATGTACATATAAAATTGCAGACAATAGTCTGAGGACTCAACAATCTTGCTGCTGACCCTCAGTATATTATAGTGTTGATACAACAAAAAGTGGGACGCTATTTTAAGCATGTATGTATACTGTCTGTGCATGGTTTGCTGAAATTAAGTTTACGATTGCTCTCTACTTGTGTCTTGTTGTCTCTGATTCTGTTGCCTCTATAAAAGTGTTACATCTTTCCGTCATCCACTGATACACTCTATCTCTTGCACATGCCACAAGTAGAGGAATGACATACATAGCAGCCGGGAGGAATACCAGGAGTATAGCGGCAACACTTGACATAACTGGATTCTCTGCGTAGTTTAGAATTGAGTAAATGTACGGATCTCCAGATTCGTTTGTTCCATTTGCTGCGTAGTAAATCCCGGAGAATACGACGTAGTTGAGAGTGAAGATGCAAGGGTAGAGAAAATGTAGGGCGTTGAATGGCACCAGACTCAGAACTATGTCGCAGATGACTAGGACTGCATTGATGCCGTGTACGTGTATAGATAGAAAGTCAACTCCACAATCTTCTCGACTACCAGTGGATGTATTGCGATCTATGAAACTAGCCGCCAATGTAGTGTTATTTTCTGTCTCTCTGATGCAAGGTTCGTATTGTGTCGACCAGAAACCAATACAAACCATCACAGTCACAGTGTGTGACGTGATGTACAATGCCCAGAACATCTTCACAACCAGTTTATATCATCTCCTCCATTATTGTTGGTTTGGGCACGCTCAGAATTCTTAGTATCACTTGAAATTTTAGTGTTAGCCCGAGGTCTCCGACTTTTTACCAGTTTAGATGGTTGCATGGTAAAGATTAGAGTCATAATCGCAGCCAGGGTTGTCGCTGCTAGGAATAGAAGGAAACTCCAGTTTGTGATGAAGATGAGCCAGCGAGCGCCGTCCGTGTGTCTGCGGTCTACGATGTGAGCGACGGTCAACCCGGCAAGGTATACCGCCAGGAGTATTCTGTACGCAACAAACACCGGCAGTGGAAGCCACTATACGTAAACATGAATTAGCAATAAAAAGTTAGCTAGTATGTTTAGCTTCGGACTTACTGACGAAGTGAAGGCGCGCAAGTCGTGGTGCGATAGCCGGAAGCGTTGAGCGCGCAAGTGTTCTCGCAAGGCCAATGGCTTGTACGGCGATCCGTGGTGTCTGACTTCCATCTCCTCCTTGGACAATCCGTAACCGGTTCCGCCGTATCGCGCGCGGCGCGGTCGAGTGCGACGTTCCTAGCGCATGCGCACTGATCCGACCACGCCCCCCTGCTGCTATCATCATATCATCATCGGACTGAGCTGGCGGGCTGGATGATCATGAAGAGATTAGCCCCGCTTCTATTGCTGCTAGCGAGCATCCAATCATCTGTACAGTCTTACAAGGAGCAGAGGCAGCTATTACTTGCGTCTGTGGTGAGTAAAAGCACCTTAGTGCTGACGAAATTTGCACTGTAAAGACTGAACAGTAACCGTGTTTGTAAATGCAGTTGTTCCGTCATGGGGATCGGTCACCAGTCGATGCGTACCCGACGGACACACGATACCAGGAGAGCTATTGGCCTCAGGGATTTGGCCAGCTATCTACTGTGAGTGATTTGGTTCTGAACTCAGACAGCTGCGGGTCTGATTTGTAGTAGCCTTGCCGGCTGATGAGAGGAGCTGGCTACTACGCATGGCTGCCTCGTTTGGCAATTTTATGATCCTTGGTAGATACGTATAGTCTACTCCAAGTCTCTATTACAACTGTGCTATTCCACAGTTGCTTATTTACAACTCTTACTTTTCGTGGTCCATTGAACGAACAATTTGCTAAATAGGATGGTAGTACAGCAGTGTGTGTAGCTATTCTTGACCACTGTTCATGTGATATAATACTCTAATGCTGTTCGACAGACTGGGATGAGGCAGCATCTGTACTTGGGAAGTCTATTTAGAGAGCGCTATGTGGGTGGAGGACTCATCACTGAAAATTACACTCGGGTCCAGGTATATAATTATGTGGCGTGTGCATTGTGTTGTGGCAAGTCAACTTTCATATTATTATTTGTCTGTATTTCACGATTTTTCCGTATGTAACGAACGCAACCAACATCACGCACAGAGGTTCATAGGGTGTGTGTATAATTACGCAACTTTCAGTCATGCTAGGAATTTCAGTTAGTCATGCTTCAGATTTATTCTGCCAGTGGTTAATATGTGATGAGCACATCCAACGAAAATTAAGAGGCAGACATTCATATACTGTATGAACTGTTGCCACACCTCATGCAGAGGCAAATATACAAAAGCAGTTGAATCGAGTACATAGGTTGATACCCTAACACAATGTGCGTACATAACGTGGACTTTAGTGTGTTAGAACTCCTGCCGTGGTGTTTGTTTGGCAGGTGTATGTACGAAGTACAGACTATGACCGGACGCTCATGTCAGTTGAAGCTCAGTTGGCAGGGCTGTTCCCACCTCAAGGAGACCAGGTATCTACATGGCCATATAGCCACGTATACATAACACACAGCTGGTCTAGAAACAGTACGTAGACCTATGCTATAGCCACGTATACACAACACACAGCTAGTCAACGTAGACCTATGTATGTACACAACAGAGCGTAATATCTATTGTAGCGTAATATGTGTAACAACTACTGTAATATCTAGAACCAGTCATACAATCAGCGTCTAACTACTATGTGTGTAGGTACTGTACAACCTAGCATGAGAATAATGGTGTGTACCCGACTGGCTTAGCTAGTGTCTCACAACTTAGTACACAGCTTCTTCTTTCTTTTTTTTTTTTTATAGAACTAAAAATTTACGTATAAGATTGATGTCGGTGTGTCCTCATGGTGTATTCTGCCATCAGCCCGACAGGGTGTTTCAGTTATAGTGCGTCCTCATTTGCTGCAGATTTTCAATGAGTCTCTTTCATGGCAGCCTATTCCAGTTCACACTGTTCCACAGGGCCAGGACAACGTGAGTTGCATTGATGCAAGCTCTTGCATGTTATGCCATGCAATGCATTATTCTCCGAAAGTAAGAAGACTTTTCTGTGCAGTTCCTTGCCACAGGATTTTAAGCTTGCACTGCGCTGTAAGATAGATGTTCACTCATAACTTGTGTCAATGTTGTGGTGACCTTTCCAGTGTAAAATATCAAGTCTAGTCTTGCATCATATAAGACAGTTACATGCAGGGGACCTGTGTCAATATTGAGCTTGTATACATGCAATGTCAACATTATGGTCACCATTTATTACCAATCTCCAATCTCCATGAACATCAACGCGAAAAATGTCTTTGTACAAACGCAGCTGTTGAGGGCGTACATTGCGAATTGTCCGAGATATCAAGGGCACCGGGAAGCAGCAAAGAACTCATTGGAATACAGATCACTGGAAAAGGAAAATGAGGTGTTGTGACACTCAGTATCATTCTTATTCTCTCACTCAGTTTAAACTTTTTACATTCTTCTTCTGATTGAATTCATTTCGTTTTAGGTTGGCATTTTCTAAGTTCTTCGCACACTCTATCCCGTATCGGTTTTTTTGTGGGGACTACTTTTACTGCACTAAAAACACATCGATGCTTAACAATCCATACACCCACAACAGGGCCCGAATAATGCGAATTATCTTACGAGTAATTGTTATGGTTTCAGGATTTTTTCAAGAGACTGGAGGAGAGCACGGGCATTGTTCCTACAACTCTTGATGACATGTGGACCATCCAAGACACTCTGCTAGTCCAGGTACACTTACATTGGTGTGTTGTGAAATAATTCAACGTGTTTGGAGAGATCTGTCATTAGAAAATTACATAGAGTGGAACTCCTCTAATATGAGCTGTAAGATGCATTACCCCATATCACATGTTTCATGAGCATTACATTATTGGGGAGATAAAATTGTTTGTTGAGAGGTGTTCTCATGGAGTCCTCGTAGAAGATAAGTATATACATCATTATAATATTATAGAATCTGAGTGGTATCCAATGGCCTGAATGGCTGGAGTCTGGAGATTTTGAGAAGATGACTGAACTGGCGACCTACACTCTTGGCTTCATGTTTCACTCCACTGAGATGAACAGACTAGTGGCAGGTAATAATAATTATGGTGCAACCTTCGTTAAGGGACCCTCTGAGAATGTTGTTGCAATCCCCATGCTAATGTGTTATTTATACCTCTGAGGTAGGGACGACCCCTTTACAAAAGACACTTGTTTCAACCCCATGCTAATACATTTGACCTCAGATATAGGGACAACATCTCTACAAGGGGAAAATCGTTGGCCCCATAGTGTCCCTTGTTTGAGGTTCCACTGTACAGAGTTAATGGAGGTAGAGTGAAATGGTACTGATGTTACTGATGTGCAGGTAACTGGGTGGGAAGAGTTGTGAGTGACATGAAGACCAGAGTAGAGGACCCTGACAGTGCCAAGAGGCTCTATATCTATTCTGCTGTAAGGAGAAGTATACATGTATCATACAGTTGAGGTAGAAAACCTTGTGCAACTTGCAAATTGCGTATAATATGTAGTAGGGCTCTCCTCGAAAGAAGAGTTCGTGGTTTGAATCCCACCTAGGGCAGCTCTTCTTTCCTCCTTCAAAAAGGTTTTCCTGAGTGTATGTACTTGACTCCTTTGCTTTGCCTTTGCCTTGCTACTCGTTGCTGTCACAATCATATATATCTCTTTTTCTCCGCACACGATGTGCTGCACACACACACACACACACACACACACACACGCACACACAGCACGACACTACAGTGGCAGCCATGACTACAGCTCTGGATGTCTACAACAATATCCTGCCTCCCTATGCCGCTGCTCTTATGATTGAACTCTACAATGACACTAATGGGTATAATACACTGTTGGTAGTCTCACCCTAGGTCAATTACCAATCATGTTTCGCCTTCTCTACCAGTGACTATTGGGTGTCACTGTACTATCGAAATGATAGTGATGGATCGAATCTGTGGCCACTCAACATTAACTCCTGCCAGAACACCACTCTCTGCTCCCTACAAGAATTCATTGAGTGAGTTCTGGAGCTAGTGCTATATATGAGCAACAATGTTGAAAGATGTTTCATTATAGTATGAAACGCTTACCTTGCTCTCACAACGATACGGCTATGGTAATAAAAGGTATGAAAAGCTTACCTTGCCCTGACACTTGCCGTATATATCAAGGAATTAGGGAGTCCAGTTTTGACTCTATCCCAAAGGATGCAGCTCATTTCTATGACAATTGACACGTGAAATGCATATCTATGTAATTGTATAGCATGCATAATGAATTTGCAATAGCTACGTACTTTCTGTTCATCCAACTATAATAATGTCAATTAAATTTTGTGCTGAAGTTTGAAATTTAGTGCTCTCATCTCATAATACAGCCACACTGCTCCCGTGATTCCAAGTGACTGGGAGATGGAGTGTGGTCTGACTGGAGACAGTGGAGAAAACAGCACCAGTGAAAGTAAGGTCTTATAAACTACAGTGAGAAGTTTTCCGGATGGCGAGGGCGGAAACATGGCTGACCATTAATCTTGGCTGGGGTGTGCAGTGAAAAACAGTTGATATGTAGCTATATATAGCCCAAAACAAGGGACAGGCCATCCAACCATCCTGAAAACTCTTCCTATAGCTGGAGCGTCAAAAAAACAGGGTGGCCTAGAACTTTCGTACTTTTACCAAGAAAACTGGGGAAAGGACAGGCCAACTAACCTTCCTGAATACCTCTCCTATTGCTGGAGTATGCAGTGTAAATTTTGGGATGTCCCAAACCTTTTTCGTACTTTTAGCAAACAATTCGGGAAAAGGGGAAAAAGACATGACAACATGTTGTCAGTCCCCACGTCTCTAACCACTTAGCCACTCTGGGCTGGCCACGAGAGCTTATGAAAAAACGTTCCTCTTATATCAACGCTCACATTACATCATTATAAAAGGTGACCCAGACCGGGATTCGAACCGTTGACCTCAGGATCCAGTTTGTGAGTCTTTGTGCATCAGATCAGAACACACCCAACACCATGAGAGGGGCAGGTTCAATACCGTATAGCCTTTGCATGCATGTCAAGGGTTAACAACAAAATTTCTTCTCCCATTGTGTCATCTCTATTCCATTTTCATAGCTGAAGTTGTTGTTGGAGCTCTACTTGCTGCGGCAGTAGTGGTGATAGTCATTCTCTCTGCCTGTCTACTGCTGATTGCTCTACTAGTGAAAAGACGGAAGAGCAATGCCAAGTCGACCACCGCTTTTGTTAAAATGGTAGAAGACTCCTCTGAGGACGAGAAACTATGACCATAGATGTGTAACTATGCTATAACATGAAACAACGGGGAGAGGCAGCAGAACTCACGCGCATGCGCATTTCTCTGCGTATTCTAGCTAGCTGCTGCCTGCCGGGTCCGGCGTGTGTTGGTTGCTGTGAGGTGCCGGCTACATTTCGAATGGCCAAACCTTTCTTTATTCTGGCAGGGTCACTACTGGCAGTCAGCCATGCCTTGAAACTGGAGCTAGCATCCGTGGTAAGCGTTCTAAGCAGCTTATCTACGTAGCTCTCTTGGTTGCGCACGGCTACCCCAGGCCGTTGGCCGGCTACTATCAGTGAATTACACGGTGTGTGTTGCAGTTGTTCCGTCACGGAGATCGCTCCCCGACCCAAACCTTCCCCAAGGACCGATACCAAGAGTCATACTGGCCCCAAGGCTTCGGTCAGCTATCCACAGTAAGTCCCAACAACCTCTCCAGAGCACACAACCAACATCAAGATGCTTTGTTTTGATGATGCCTGATGGTTTAGGAAGGGATGAGGCAGGAATATTTTCTTGGTGAAGTTCTAAGAAACCGTTATGTGGAAGAGTTGGAACTTATTCACCCGAACTATACAAGAGTACAGGTATGTGTATGCACCGTTAACATACTGGACACTGCCTGCTGAGCTGCAGTGAAACTGTTTCAACCATCCTGGATTCTTAGTAATCCATGAAATATTCTTCGGATTTGTGCAGGTTTTTAGCTGTTGTTGCTCAGCAGGAAGCACTGTTATAATATTGCTCATATGGTTTCAGAAGCAGCTTGTAACGCGCTCCCTCTAAGGGCAGTACGTTTGACCCAGGGCAGGTCTCTACCTTAGTTTTCTGGATGTGCCCTGCACTTAAAAGTTGTTACACTTCCCTTCTTAGTGGCATTAATAGTAAGTATACTGTCTTTATCTCTGTACTATGGCAGGTGTATGTCCGCAGTACAGACTATGACCGCACACTGATGTCTGCTGAATCCGTCCTGGCTGCACTATTTCCACCCAAGGGGGATCAGGTGTGGAACTGTATAGCATGGCCCTTGTGTTTTATTAGTGCTTGCTTTTTCTAGTCTGTTTGTTTTTCTGCTAAGTGCTTTCTGTTCCTCTCTTATCTATCTCCTTCCGTGTCCTTCTTTCATCTTCTCTGTACTGTTTCTATGCTCTACCGACCCTAGTCTGTTAAACCCAACTTATCTGTGAGGTAACCTGATGAAGAAAGCTATCCGTGCCAGCATCTTACATTATCTGTACATGTACTTCACCGCTACAGTCACTTAAATCAATGCCGTGGGCACTTAAATGAAGCCGGCAGCTCTTGTGTGCCAACAGCAATTAGTTTGCATGCACAAAGATGATGGAATGTGGAGGAATTCCAATGAAATGTTGGCCCAACAATTGTAGTTTGTGGTGATGTACATATGGCTATAAAGACAGTCAGTATAATATAGAAGCTAGAACCCCAGAGATCAAAGTCTTGTTCCATTTTATGTTCATCCCTCCCTTGTTTCCAAGCTGCCTGGATGACCAACGTTGAACTATACATAAGCAGAAACCAGACATTTGGTCATGACAGTCACCTATGGTGTACCTCTAGCTTCTCACTCTCCCCCTCTCTTCCTTTCTTTACACTTTGTTACAAATCATCGTGTTCATCGGTGCTTTTTCTCTCTCCCACTTCTCATATCCTGTCTGTCGCCTACTTCTCCTATCACTGCAAGATCTTCAACGACACTCTACCATGGCAACCGATCCCAGTGCACACTCTACCAGTAGAGGATGACAATGTAATGCTATGCCCCCACATCTTTTTGTGACGGAATTTCACTCTTGACTTGAGTTTTTTTTGCATCGTTGCAGATGTTGCACGCCTACTCAAACTGCCCGGCCTATGAGAAACTTCTCCAAGAAGACAAGGAGTCACAGAGCTACCGTGACTTGAACGAGGAAAATGAAGTATGTGTGCGTAGGTACATGTATCTCTTTTGTAGCATTTTGAGTACGTAAGTAAGCACTTGTATATACAGTTACTACTAGAACGAATGCAACGCATTATTGGCGAGCGAAAAAGAGCTTGAAATGTCACCGGTTTAACATGTATTTAAATGGGAAACCCTCGGCGAACTGCGCATGCGCGGTACCGCTGATGATGAGATGTTGTGGAATGCACAGACAGACAGACACACACAACAACTACAGTAACCCTCGCTGCCCGTCGAGGGTTAACAAGGTTTCATAAAGTTGAGCAATGTTTCCCGTAATATGTAGGACTTCTTCAAGAGTTTGAAAGAGGACACTGGCTACGAGTCATTCAACCTGGATAATGCCCACTCCTCCACGACACTCTACATGTCGAGGTATGTTCTTAGAAACCCTGTTCCTTAAAACGTGTCCACATTGCTAATATCTGCAAAAGGTTGTTTTTTCTATAAGACTGCTAATCAGCATAATTGCTTTTGAACTTAATAATTTCAGCACGATAGTGTCCTGTGTTTTCAACAGGAGATTTATAAGTTGAATCTGTCATCGTGGGCCACTCCTACGGTGATGGACCGCCTGCTCAACCTGACAGTGTACACCAGCAGCCTCTTGTTCAATTCGGTCACTAAAAATAGATTCACTGCAGGTACTTCATGATATACGTGTTACTATTGTACAGTGGAACCTCTCATATTGGACACTACGAGTTAAACTGTAATGGCCCAATGCAAGTGTAGCCCGTGATACATCAGGCAACTTGCAGCCTAGTTTGAGACAAAAAACTAAGCAACTTGCTATAGGACAACTTTGTTTTCCTTGTGTATGATGGCCTTAAGCACACTGTCAGTGCTAATGTATTTTTGTACACCAACCTTCCCTATAATGACACTAGGAACCTTCCCTATAATAACACTTGGTCCTAATTGTGTGCGTGTATGGTCCGAAGGGATCTGTATAACAAGCAGACTTGTTTTCACTACTGCATGTTTCCCCAAGAAGACTGTTATTGCCAATGCAGATTTCCTACTTAGTCGGTAAGTAATCTTATGAATGCTCCGTATAATACTGTGCAGGTAAGTGGGTGGGGAAAGTTGTGAGTGACATGAAGACCAGAGTAGAGGACCCTGACAGTGCCATGAGGCTCTATCTCTATTCTGCTGTAAGCCTTGGCGCCATACCTGTCTGTGTATGTGTATGTACTGTACTTACACACAGAGTATAAGACTCTATATAGACAACCCCTCACATGTATCACTAAGTATGGTAGTACTTGTAGTATAGAGATGATGTGTTACCTTACAGCATGATACTACGGTGGCAGCCATGATGACAGCTCTTGGAGTCTTCAATGGACTGCTAGTGCCATATGCAGCGACCTTCATCATTGAACTCTACTCTCAAAACAGCAGTGGCGAAACGTGGGTAATGCAGTTGAACCTCTGATGGGGGACACTGAAGAAAGGAAAAGTCCTTTAAAAACACACTTACAGGTCGCAGCGGTTCACTTTTCTATCTTCTAGTGCATTTTTAACCTCCAAAGAGCGGACAACCTCGCTATGAAGAACCAAATGCCTGGTCCTAACTTGTAGAAGTTCCACTGTAGTTAATTATAACTTAACACTTTCACCGTTTCTCTCAATTCGCCTTCTCTACCAGTGACTATTGGGTGTCACTGTACTATCGAAATGATACTGATGGATCGAATCTGTGGCCACTCAACATTAACTCCTGCCAGAACACCACTCTCTGCTCCCTACAAGAATTCATTGAGTGAGTTGAGTTTAGGGTTGTTTTAGTTGCTGCGAAAATTACCACACCCCCATAAGGCTTAAAGAACGGTTTCGCTTTTTTTGCATGCACATGAATTGACGAAATGACAAACCAACCATACCTAATATTTTGACTATAGTTGGAGTGTGGAATAGCAACACTATCTCGCTGAACCTCGTCTCTCTATGCACGCACCTCAATCGTTTCTCCGCTATGCATGCTCACATACACCCGAATGCACAATGTAATATGTCTGTGACATCAATCATTGTTCTTACTATTCCGTGATGATGATTATTATTGGCGGGATATTCCACATGATATTCTGCAGTGTGACAGCTCCGTTGGTGCCTTCTGATTGGGAGAAGGAATGTGGTCTGGGATCTCAGGAATCTGGGAATTGGACTATGTCCCACACTGCAGGTCCACACTATACACTCTGCATACATGCACATCCCAATGCATCTAGTGGACAATGTATGTATGTATGCAGACCATAATATGCTCACTGTGGACAACGATCAGCATAAGACGTGAAGTTCTATAGAATAGCTTTCTCGTGTATTAAATACCCACGCCTCGTGGTGTAACCTGTCAACGGAGCCTGTTTCTCGTTTTAGCACAAACTATAATTATTATAGCTACTTCCAATCATCTAACTTCTGATTAGTCCCTAACACCCCCTCCTTGCCTATGAGTACAGTATAATGTAGTGAAACTGGGACACTGAGGACATACTGCCCGCCAATGAGAATTGGGTAATAGAGGTGTCATTATTCGTGAGTATTTTTCATTTCCTATCTTGTCTCCTCTGACATTCACGTGCAGTGGTGGCAGTATTGGGAGGTATGCTGGGTCTGTCTCTCCTGCTACTGCTGGTGACAGTGGTCATTTGTGTCAGATGCATGGTCTGGAGCAAGAGGCAGGAACACGGTTACTCCAGACTTCTCAACTCTAAAGACTCCTGATTCAATGTCAACAGACACTCATGATTTTTTTTAATTGTAACTGAAAAGTTCACAAGGATGGAGTCACCAACAAGACCAATCACCTTATATATAACCTGCTGAGCATGTGCAGGCAAGAGTTAGCAAGCCACCGACATAATATTATATCCAGAGTCTCCATAAACCCATAAGAATTTATATGGGGCTATAATACTATATGTCAATGTCCAAAGGGCTCCTATCCGCAATATACTTCCAGTATTCAATCAACATAAATAAACTAGAGATATGGGCATCTAATGGATGAAGTGTGTTGTTCAGTATGGAGAGTGTCTACTATTCCTCGGTGGGTGTCTTGTCCACAAAGTTGAACTGGGGGAACTTGGTCATGTCTCCTCCACCAAACACTCTGTGGACTCTACCGAGTTCGTCCTGATACTGCTTCTCCTGATCTCCTGTTATGTCGGGCAGCTTCCCTCCTGCGGGGACACACACACATCGACCTAACATTCAGTCTTGCTCTCATGACCACAATAGAGTGTGTACTAACTCAGCTCTTATAGCCAATGCTGCTTATATCAGAGCTTCCAAGACTTATACAACTGCTTTACACACCCTATCAGAATGTAAGTGGTTCACATGCATAAACCTAGACCACTTTACACATATACGTCACACACATCTCCCATTAATCACTAAGATAAGGCACTTTTGTTTGAGGCAAATAACTCTAATTAGTGCCCACCCGAGCTCTTTGTTTTGTACTCCGTCAGTTTCTCCAGAAATAGCTGCTGAACTGGATCCAGGGACGAGGCAGACTTGGTTGAAGCCTTTGCCGACAGCGCTGCTCCAACAGACAGGGGTCTAAGGGCCTGCTTCGTCCACTTTGAAGGAGCTAACGCAGCGCGAGTCCACACAGCCGCCATTTTTAGGTAGTATACGGCACTTCGTAATCTTTCCGTAATTTTCGGACGACACGCATGCACGGTATATTGAGAGCTAGAGGGTGGGGCTTGGAAAAGCGCAATAATTACGGCAACACCACCACCGCGCTGGCGACGACACGAGCACGCCTCCCCCTGTGTGCTGTTGCATCTGAGGGCTGCAGTCAAGTTGTGGATCCGGTGTAAACTCGGCTTGGTAAGTCAGTTGCAGGCTTTGTGCACGAGTCCGCCGCGTTAGTAAACTACAGAGCTAGCTAAAATCCTTCCGGGCGTCCAGTCACTCACTAGCTAACGGACCTGTTTTGCATTGTGGTGCACGAGCTGCGAATTCATCTTTTGTGGTACTCCATTGTCCAATGCGTAGAGATGCCACGATAATTCCCGGTATAGTAGTAGAGTAGGCCGAGGGTGGTTTGGCGTGGGTAAACAAGCCTGTTTCGTTTACAGTTAGCTTGAGGAGGAAGGAGCGAGTTGTGGAAATGTCAGAGGAAGATTTGACAAAGCTGTTGGTACGAGTCGATATCCCTGATCTAAAGACGCAGGTATGTTGTATACTACAATGCTATCCAGATAGTACTAGCATAGATTTCATAGCGACAGTAGTGTTGTGTATGTGTAGTTAACTGACAACAAAGGAGTGCACTTAACTTGCAATCAATATTAGACAACCCCTTGAAATACTCTGACACTGGTTTATACTTTAGCATACACTGATGTGTTTGTGTGAGTGCACGATTCATGCACCCACTGTACCAAAACCATTGTAGTTGCTCTGTCAAATTTATAGCAATTGGTCTTATGAGCACTATTATGGAAAAGCACTTAGTACCAATCATAGGTCAATTTAGGAAAGATGGCTTCGTCCCTGCCAAATCGCTGTCATATTCCATGAGCTTGGGTCACTGAGCTGCCAGCAATTTGGTTATTGTTCACGCAGTTTAGTAGAGTCTGTGACAGCTAATTGTGCAGCTGTTTTAAGTCTTGCACACTTCCATTTGAAGAGGTGGCTGTGGTCTTTGTTATTGCCAATACATGATCATACATACACTATAATATATAACACCAACCTTGATGAGCTCTATATATAGCCTTAGGTAATGTGTTGTGAGTAGCGTTTGTTCCACTCTGGACGAGATAAACAAAACCTCTACCTGCGTGTATTATGCCACAACTGGCTAAGCCGAATAGAGGCTCTACACATTGGTTAGTACTGAAGGCTAAGCTTGCCCATGTGATGAGTGTGAATTCTAAAGGGCTTCTTTTGTGCCTCATAATGTGTCTTTAGCCTATGTATACATAGTATAACGTTAATGTTGCAGTACAAAAGGGCCCAAGACTGTTATTAAAGGTTGCATGTTAGTGCTGTCAATTTAGTAAGAAGAGAATCCTCAGTGTAGGAATGTCACCATTGAGATTTAGGTTGAGGTTGTATTGCCAGGTAACCCTTCGTTTCTACAGCAATGTTTCTATAGCAATGGTCTGTGTGTAGTGCTGCAGTCAACCTACTAGTGTTACACATTCACTGGAGAAGATTGTAGGGTTGCTCAGCAACCACTAGAATGTGACTTCTACTGTGTTTACTTCTTTGACTTTTCTCTCTCCACACACACACCACACACACACACAGAAATGTGTTGTTTTAAGTGTAAAGGACACTGTGTGGGCTGCTAAACAGGTGGTCTTGGACAAACTCAACCAGGTTCCTATTTACTATGCACATACAGAAAATAATTAAAGTAAACTATTACCCATTATGTTGCCATTTTATGTTGTTGTATCTTGGTAGTACAGTGGAACCCCTCTCTCCATGGACACCCTTATAATGAGGATGCCTCACTAATATGGACACTTCCCATTGGTGTCCGGATTGGAGAGGTTCCACTGTACTACCTTGCTCTCTATGCTAATGATTACCTAGCTCCTGGTGACTTATACACTAGATCTGGTACGTGCTGGTGAATAAGCTTTATTTTACTGTCTGAACTTCCAGTAATGAAGCCATCATCTTTCACAGACTGATAAACGGCAGTATTAATTTGCCGACTAATGCCTTCACGGCATCATTTGGCAGCACTATATTATGTGCAGCTATGTATAGACACATAGACACACACTTATTGTTCAAGTGGGATGAATATAAGGCAAGGTGTGCCTGCCAAGTGGAAGGGAGGAGGGATTTATTTCATAACCTGCATCCGTCTTCCCCCTTTGTGACGATGCACCGTCGAGACAATCTGGATCTGGCATAGGCCAAGGCTCGCAAGATTGCATACTAGAACCCTACAGGAAAGCCTTACCTCTTGCATCCATAGGGTGGGCATCCAGTTTCCTAGGCAAAAGGCTTTTTGTCTGCATCATTACTGTGGGGCATCCCCAATAGGCCAAGGCTCTTTGTTACAGAATATCCAGGGGTCTTATGCATACCCAGTCTCCCCTCCCTAACACACCCTGAGTAGAAGGCTAGTCTTGTACTCAGGGTGTGTTTGGGCGGTGAGGCTGGGTTTGCCCAGGCTAGCTATGTAATTAGTGAAGCCTACAAAAGCCACTGCGTATAATTATAGTGTTGGCATGTCTTTTTAATATCTTAGAGAAAAGCTGAGAATCACGTTCTAGCATTGTAATACAGTGATCGCCTCCCACGAAAATACAAGTCTGATACATACAAAGCCATTGTTGGTTACTGTTATTGTAGCTGATGCTATCAGTAGTGTTTGTAATCACCTTAGTTTAGGCAGATAACTGAGAAAACTTTGTAGTATTATATTTTGTATTACGTAAAAGCATCAAGATAAGTAGCAAAAACACAACACGAAGTAACACTGCTTTACAATGAAGGTTTTTCTTGAATGCAGGATTTGCCAAACAATCTTCTGAACTATGGTCTGTACTTGTTGCCGAGTGTTGCTGGGAAGCTGGGAAAGTATATGGACGACGGTCGGTACCTCGGAGAGTACGTTCTGCACGGTCACGTACCTCGCATTGAGGTGAGCTCAGTGATTGTGCTGCTGTACTAAGTGAGGTATCAGGCAATAGAATAACAGGAAACAATAAAATTAGACTATTCCTAAACAATATGAACTATTGCCAAACAATGCAAACTATTCCTCATTAGAGGGTTCTGTATATACAAGATATAGGTACATATGTAATGTATTGGCAAATAGTAATGTTGCAATGAAACGTACATAATATTAAATAATGCGGTCTTCATCAGATTCACAAGTTGGGTGTAGGTGCTGATGCTCAATCATGCACAACATGTCCCCATAACACACTGGGAGATGTTAATTTGCAGGCCGTGAATGCAGTTGCCATCAAACCATGGGGTGGGTTGTAGGACCACCATAGTGTATTCATACCACTCATAGCAACAGATAATCACTGAGGTTGTACCAACTACTACGTATATACTACTACCTGATTCGCTGTATTATTTGGCAGAACTGCTACCTTGGCGTGTGGTTCACTATGAGAGCATGCCCAAGATCCACATGACATGCTTCGCTGCACACATCATGGTTACAAAAATTAAACTTTCCAGGAATGCCACTTTAGTTGTTAGGTGAACAATACCAAAAAGGTTTTGCAACGAATACTTGTCCCACGCTGATGCTTAGTACCACAGAGGCCCTAGATTATGATTTCACTGTTGTCTTGCAGTTGCGCTACAAGAAGAGAGACTATAGTATTCAGGTCACTCTGAAGGGAAAAGACATCAGCAAAGCCAACTCCAAAGTAAGACAGAAACACGCATTTCTCACAGTATTTTTTAACCACATCTATAATAGTGAAGGATAATAATTATAGAGACTTATATACAAGAACATTGTGCACAATTGAACGTTTTGAGCTGTGTTAGTAGTTCCTTATCTGAGTTTTCCAGGGTGTGATGGAATGTACACTAATTGAACTCCCTCTTTATTGTCACCAGTGAACTCTTGTAATTACGCACAAATCTTTGTGTACTGCCATTTTAGGCAAACCTCCGAAAGTTTGCAGAGAATGTTGTTCAGGGAAATGTGAAGAAAGTAGAGAAATTGATGGATTCTGGAGTCGATCCAAACTTCATCACAGAGGATGGCAGTAAGTGACCTCCAGGAGAGTGGCTAATGGGAAATCTCTCTCATTTCATGCCACGTCCAAAGTCTTCGTACTGCCTTCTCTCTCTTTGTCTTTCCGATTGTATGTGCAAAAAAGTACTAGTTACCACAGGGCAAAACCCTATGTAGGCTACACTACTCTCCCCCTCCTCTCTTCGTTTTCCCTCCCCCCTCCCTCTCTCCCAGACACTCCCCTTGGGTTGGCCTGTGGACGTAATGCCAATGTCCAAGTCATCATGCCTCTTCTGTCCAACGGAGCTCACATTGACTTCAGGGGCAAAGAGGGACTCACTCCACTGCACAGAGCTGCTCTCGGGGGAAACTCTGCTGCCATCAAAGTATGGATCTGTCCTGGCTGCCTTTCTATATACCTCATTGTTGACACATGCATGTATACCACTGTATGCTCTATCACTATAATGGACCATACCATAGGCATTAGTCGGCAACAGTCTATGAAAGATGATGGCTTCAACAATTCATTGCTCGTGAATGGTTGTGCAAGGAAAAAACATATTTGCTTGAAATTTGATGTTTTCTCCCTGTTTCCTAGGCTTAAATACCACTCAGTATCTGTTGAGGAACTCTTAGTGTCTATTGTCGTATAATAATCTTACCTATAAAATGATTTCACTAGATTCTGTTGTCGTATGGAGCCTCTCCAAATTACCGAGACACGAAGGGGCTCACCCCGCTCTACCACACGGCCATAATGGGTGACGACACGGCCTGCTGCGAGAGTCTGCTGCGCTACAGGGCAGAGATGGGGATCAGGGACCACGGAGGATGGACCGAGCTACATCAGGTATGACTCTATATTGCTGTTGAGTAGTTTAGTTGCTTCGTCAAGTCCGACTCTATGTCTTCAGTAGTTTAGTGGCCTCATCTAAAAGTATGTATGTAGTCTATAACAGTTCTGAACAATTACAACACACTTCACCATGAGACGCTTGGGGCTGCAAATAGCATCACATGGGCTATAGGTTCACAAAAATATGTCGCATTGTCCCGTCGCAGTGTGCCACATTTCTGCATCGCGAGGATAGAATCCATTCGGGCAATGAGACATATTATTGTGTGAACCTAGCCTTACCAGCGACTCTTATATATTATTATATACACTGAAGTTTCTTACGGATGCAGCATGCACAGCACTTTGTATCACCACATTTCCCCTTGGTATTAACTTTATGTGGTACCAGGTTGCAAAGCACTTACCATAATTCACCTCACACTCTATCCCAACGCAACTATATTATATCACTTTCTAAAGTTACAGAAGGTCTGGGGGAAGCTTGTTAGGCCGATTAGGGCTGTGGCATTCATGACCAATAGACTATAGTGAATTTCAAAGGGTGCCCTATAGATGGAGTATTGCTTACTGCCTTGTGTATGTATAGCCGACCATGCTTCGTTGAAGGAATGCCAACGTGACGGCTTGGTAGGTTAAATATGGTGAAGCAGCTCAAAATAGGCAAGAGAGAAATTATAAGAGAAAGGCTACCAATGAATACCAACAGGCTTTCTTGCACTTTGTGCTCTACCATGAGCTAACTTTACTGTAAATTAAGTGGTACTGTACTATGGCACCGACATTTTGCATGTGAAAACTATGAGGTAGAAAGGCATTTAAGGCACAACAACCATATCAACTACACCCAGGGCAGCTCTTTTTTTCCAAGGAAAAATAAAGCGCTGCCCTAGGTGGGATTCGAACCCACGAAACTCTGCAGTCTAGGCGAGCGCTCTACCAGGGCAACTCAGCTGGTAGCATGCACAAGATAAGTGTGACTAAGCAGCTGAAGGTTCAAACACACCATGAATTTGCACGCTACTCATCGTTCATCAATATGGCGTGACTTGCAGGTGGCAAAGTATGGTCACGTGAAGCATGCATATCTTCTCATCAAGTACGGAGCAGATCTTCATGCCCAGAACAATGCCGGAAACACACCCCTACATGTGGCAGTCTCACACGGACAGGTACAATGTGTCACCGATGCATTTTGTATGAGCTACGCACGTACTATGAAAACTTTGCCAACCAAAAGTTCCCACTAGACCTACAGTAAGAGTGATTGAGAGAGTGTATGTGTAACATAGAAGAAAGTCACACAAAACCACGCACGCACTAGTTCATAATTCGATGGTGTACACACTCGTGGTGTAATGGAGTAACATTGTGTTTTTTCCCCTTCGTTTCAAAGGCTCAGTTGGCCAGGCTACTGTTGAAGAGAGGATCAGACAGGACTAAGATCAACTTCTCCAGTCAACTACCTTCCCAGGTATAATAATTGTATATCACCACCGCACACAGCATTGTATATACACTGCCCGCTGCGATACGTAGCCCAGCAAAGAGAATGGGAGCAGAGTCCTATCCAGAGCAGCTCGCATTGGGTGTAGTTGTATATATCATAAATCTGGCATCAGAATCTGACACCTATGTCTATGTAGAAACCATACACCATAATGTTAGGTAAATTTGGCAATGCTGTATATAGCATCAAGCCAGAAGACTTAATGCTTCAAAGCACAGATTTTTGATTACCGCAAAGTGTTTGGTGCTACAAAGTGTGAATTATTCTTCTCTCACTTGATGACAAACAGTTAAGGTTACAGAAGGCTGCTTTTGTACGAACCTCAACAGTTACCTTGCATGCTTGGTAACAAGAATACCCAACAAATATTCATGACATCTGTATAAGTGTAGGTTTACTGTAAGGTCACACATTATGGTATTTACATATGCACATTATATAGGTGGCCATTCTGTGTGGACAGCATGCTCTCGCAGCTGAGATAAACAGTTTCGAACCAGAGCAAGTCGGTAGGTCTTCTCTACCATAGTGCTGTCAACTACATGTTGTGAACACTCTCTTCTGCTCTGCGATAATATTTCTATGTATATTTAGTGGTAGCTATTGCAGTTAGGAAGTGAATAGAGATTTACTAATGCATAATCTGCCTTTGCCTTTGCCTTTGTGTTGCTCAAAATTTTCTGGTGGCACAGTGGGTACTATACTAGTAGGTAAGAACAGTGCATGCTTTGTGCCTACAGAGTGTGAAGTAGTGCATTCGGTTGAGTCTTGCCCAGGGCACTGCTATGCTGTTTGCATGCTTGCACTTGTATGCCATGTGAATTTTCACATGTGGCATTGTTACACTGCATGCACGAATAGTGGTGGCGACTAAATAGAAGCATTACTGTGATGGCGTGTAACTGTACAGCCCATGAATAGGCTACACTATGCTCTTTGTTTATGCCAGCAATGTATGTTGCTTCAGTAGTCACACCCCTCTGGGGATTTTGATTACATTCCTGACATAGTTTAGCATGAGTAAATTCTGATGTGATGTTTGTTTGTCAGTGATGTGTTTGTGTGGCAGCATCTGTGGTTGATGAGTGCACAGCTAACATTTTCGGGTTGTGATACTCTGTAGTTGAGGAGAGTCAAACTACAATAGTATCCCAAGCCCTAGAAATTGAACAGACTGTGCCATAGCACATTAAGTTGTAGTTTGCCTTTTGTGTATTGTACTGTGTTTTAGATTTGAGCCCCTTGAGTATAGCTCGGTGGGTAGAACACTCTGCCTATAGAAAGCACAGTGTTGTGGGTTTGAACCCCACCAAGGGAAGCTCTTCTTTTTAAAAAGAGTTGCCCTGGGTGTACAAGCTGACATTTTTGCTATGCCTTTGTCTCGCTGCCTCGATGATGGTTGCACTCAGTGAAACCTTTGTGTGTGTAATGCGACAATGCAGAACCTGACAATGCCTGGACATTAGATATCAAAAGAGTACCACAATACGTAGTATTCACATACTGGAAACTGATGTCTTTTTTCTCACATGCAGAGCCCATCCAGGGTGAGCCAGAATACCAACCCGGGGCCAGGCAGTTTGACCGTAGTCTCTTTGACATGGACAAGATGAGGTCAGAGGTCGGACCCACAGCTCCGCCCCCCGAAATCCTCGTCGACTCCCTGGCCCAGGAGTGGAGTGACAAGGAGTTTGCGGCAATGGACGGAGGGAGGGAGGAGATGGGGGAGGGAGGGAGGGGGAGGGCCGGGAGCGAGACAATGTGGAGCAAAAGTGCCCACGGGAGCTCAGTTAGCATTCCGAGTGAGTTGACCCAACTCTGTGATATAATGTTGGTGCTAATGCACAAACCACAGTATGTGCCGTTTAAGTGAAGCCATTTCCCCACAACCCGAGGTTGCTGTGAGATGCGAAATAGACTGACAGACGACTATTACACACAAGAAACTAAAGCAACCCATGCTGCGCATGTGGGCCGTGGGTTTACTTAGCAAAGGGAGTACTTGAACACCCAGTATCCCCCACTAGATGAGCTACTCCCATTTGCTGCTTTTGATTTGCTTCTTGGTCAAGTGTGAGAGTGGAATTTGGGCGGCAACCTTATCTTCTATGCTTTGTCCAGACGTGGAGTATATAATAGAGCATATGGCACAGTTTGTATTATGGACTATAGTATCAGGCAGAGTTTTGTTAGCATGATCAGCTGGCATTTACTTGGAATTTGTGTGGGTGAATGAAGCACCTTAAAATGTACCATAACTGAGCTCACAGGTGCATACAAGTTGTATACACATTTTCCGTATGGTGTGTAGGTATGACAACAGGACAGATACAACAGCCGTACCACCACTCCATAGAGACAGCAGACAGCGAGAGTCTCAGCTCATACGACAGAGACAGCATTCACTCTACATCCACCACCGGTACGGTCGCATGTCTGTGGGTTTTGTGCACCTTGTACTGATTTCATTCTACTTTGTGCAATAGAAGATGGCAACATTGCAATGTTGTGGGTTTAATCCCCTTACTATAGTTGTCGTGGAAGAAATATAGATAGTTTCCTGCGTGGAATTTAACCCATGACACATGCACTTTGGAGTACCCTCTGAGTAAAGATGCATGTTCTGTATTGCTTGGGATGAACACACACATGCAGCACCATTGCCAACTTTTTGAGGGTAGCTTTTGGGATGCAAGCTCTTTGTCTACGGGTGTGGTAGCCCCCCCATTCAGGCCACTTCAAAGAGGAGAAGAGAAAAGGCAGGACGGTGTATGAATGAAACATCCTGGGAACCAGTGTTCAAGTGTGGCACTGCCTCGCAAAAAGTTGCCAGCCCACAGTACTACATTGGCTAATTTATTGGCCATGTTCAGAGAGTGGGGGTAAATGGCCTCTGACCAGGCATGCACAGTGATTCTAGCAGACATACAGTAGACCTATGCAGCAAAATTCAGCTAACTGCGCTCGCTCAGTGTGGGCTATAAAGCAAACTCGTACGTACTGTGCGGAGTGCTCTTCTTGCTGCACTCTACGCAATAAGCTGGCATGGCTTAAATCTAGAACACAGCACAACGGCAAACATTGCAAGCAACAGTCAATGTATTAGTGCACTGAAAGAGAGAATTGTGTGTCACCCACATATGCTCACATGACCTTGTTTACAATATTGTCGTGGGCCGCAGCAAACTTGTTCAGTGAGTGTTTAGCTCAAGTCACTTTGACCTAACTGGAGTAACATTAGTGTCAACATGTTTGTTCTTCATTGCCAACCATGCTTGTCCGAATTGTGTATCCATTGGACAAATATCAATTCCAAGCAAGTTGTCGAACTGCAAAGGTTTTCGCTTAGCTTCTCTGAACGTTTTGCTGCACAGAACTCCCGGGCCTAATACCCCAAAAAAGTCTTAGTTATTTCACACACACAGCAGCTAAAGTGTTTAAGCTCCCAACAAACTGCAAAAATACGGCAATCACTGTTGCTTTAATGCTTCATACTGCACAGGAGGAACTCCGGGGCCAAACACCCCATATTTCACACACATAGCAGCTAAGCTCCCAACAAACTGCACAGGCAGTCACTGTTTCTTCAATGTATTATATACTGCACAGGAGGAACTCCTGGGCCAAACACCCCGCAGACGCACCACCGTCGACAGCAGACGTTTGCCACCCAGAGAGAGAGGCTGTACCGGGCTGGAGCAGGGAGGTACGTGGCAGTGGAGGACGTGGAGCCCCAGCAGGGGGACGACATTCCTCTCAGGAGGGGCATGGAAGTCGAAGGTTTGTGTGTGTATTTAGTTACAATGGGAGTTACGTTGGGATCATTAGCTGCACGAACGAACACACTCGATTGAGGTAATTTGTTGGCTGTTGATCTCCTTTCATCATTGGCCTATATACCTCCCAGTAAGCCAGATTCATCCTGTGGCCTGATATTAGTCAGTTTCAGTTTTGAACTTCACATATGTACATAATATGTACTTCATTTTGGTTGTATACATTATGTAGTTGTATAATTATGTATTAAAGCTGTGGTAGTATGCTACATACATAGCAGTACACATCACGTCATCTTAGTGCAAGACTTTGTTGTGCAAGTTGCTGAAATTTTACCGATGATACAAATTGCCCAATTTTTCTATCATAAAATGCAGCTGATGCTACCATTGGGCAAACATGCACAAAAACTCACCTAAAAACACTCTTAGACTGGCATTATATAGACTTGCTTGATAATAATTATGTGTTGGTATCACCGCAAATACTATTTCTGTGTGTATTCCCTGCAGTGGTGTTCATAGGGAAGGGAGGTTACTGGGAGGGGAGGTCAGGAGGGAGACAAGGCTGGTTCCCCGCCAGAGCCATTCAGGAGGTGACCGATGATGGTGACAGTGGGGTCTTCTCCGAATACTGTGAGTCATAGTCTTCATAGTTGTCTTATACTACTACTACTTCGTAGCAGGATAGATAGCTTTTGCATTGGAAGGTACTATAGGTGGTACTTTGTGCACTTTTTAAAACTTGGGCCTGGTCTACCGAGTGAGCTGCTACTAGAGAGCCGGATGTTGTGGGTCTGCATTTTTGGAAACATACTCCCAGTAAAGCTGAAATTACAGTTGTTAAGAGGAGCTGCCCGTGTAAAAATGTTTTTCATAACAGAGTCAAGAAATTGACCCTGGAGTGTTTGTAGAAAACTTGCCCTATCAAAGTATATACATACACCTCATAATCAAACCTATGTATCAGCTTACAATCTATAACAAATCTACGTATTTTTTTATTGTATTGCAGCGAGGGGTAACCAGCATCCAATGGCTTCTCTACCAGAGCATCAGCTACTCCCTCCACCTCCTCCCATGCACCCTGTGGACACTTGGCCGACGATGGGTGGAGGGAGGAGAGACGAGGGGGAGTTTTGGAAACCAGAGATGAGTGGTGGAACTGGCAGCGCTCCAAGTTTCTCCACTCAGCAACATCTCCATCCGTCAACTCCTGATGGGTATGCTTGTAGTCCTGATAGGTTCGCATGTAGTGATGCAAGCGTAGGTCATTATAAACCCTTAGCCTCACTTGGTACATTAATTAAGTGCGTATGAAACACAGTGAGTGTATTATATAGTGCATAATTATTATTATCCGCTCCTGATGGATATGAATGTATAGTGGTGCAAGCATGTGGTGTTTTCTGCAGTGTGCGAGAGGTCTTCATGAAATGTGGTCCAAAGGGCTATGGATTTGCTATGAGAGGAGTCAAAGGTATGTACAATACATTATTATGTGTAGAAACGATGATTTAACTTGTTTCTTTCTCATCTCAGCCACAAAAGCCATGAGGTTCACCCCAACCCCACAAGTGCCTGCACTCCAGTATATTGGCAGTGTGGAGAAAGGGAGCTCTGCCGACCTAGCCAGCCTCCAGACTGGAGATTTCCTGCTAGAAGTGAGCCCCCTATTATCTCACTCACTTCCACTAACAATGTTCAAATCAAGCATCAGTTCACACATTTCTCTCTCTCCAATAACAGTCTTAGAATCAAGCATCAGTTCACACACATCTTCTCTCTTTTTCTGCACAGATCAATCACCACAACGTGACGTTCAGCACACACGATGATGTCGTCAACATTATTCGTCAGTCGGGGAAATCCCTTCAAATGAAGGTCGTTACGCCTGGCCTCGACACCACACTTCGCACGAGTGTTCAGCTCAAGGAGCAGGTGGAGATCGTGTCTTCATCTCAGTCCCTCGACCGGCGGAGGAGCAACGAACACCCCGTGATAAGAGCCAACTCATTCAAGTCTCATTTCTCGGCTGAAACTGCTCATCAGGTTAGCAGTGCGGCAACGATCCTCCAGCGAGAAACAGTGATAGACGACGTGCCACTGTCGCGACAGTCAACAAGAGGAGGGGAGTCACCGCACCTCGAGCGAATCAATCAGAGTGGGTGGGACTCATCCCAAGACGAAGCGTCCAACACCCCATCGACACCCAGTCGCGTTCATAAGTTCTCTTACCTTCACCCGGCTGGCGGACCTCAGCTCCCTGTCACTCAACAGTACTCCCCAAAGAAGCAAAAGGTGTCACCTCCCACAATTCACAAAGGAAGCTCTACTAGTCTCTCTTCCGCTTCCACCAGTGAATCAAGTCAGTCGGCACAGAACAGCATCTCATCTGCAAGCAAATCGGCTACACTTCCCCCGGCAAGAGCTGGGTTTCAAGTGGCTCATCAGCAGGCCGGCTCGGCTCCATCATCCGAAGACGAAGAAGAATCAGCCTTTGTGAAAGCCCTTAAGCTCGGCAAGGAGAAACTGGCAAATTCACCTGTGATTCGAAAGCGGTCAAGCACGATGCCACCGAGCATGAGAAACATGGCCCAGCGTAGTCACCATGCTAAAAGAAGTCCTGCTGAGTCTCCCGTCATTGGCACAAAGAGCTCACCCTCAGAGAAGACTTCGCCGACTTTCAAGCAACCCCAGACTTTCAGGCAGCCCCTTGCAGCAGCTCTCATGAGAAAGATCGACTCCGTCTCTCTGGACAGCGAACAAGTCAACAACTCCAGCGATGAGGATGACACGTTCAACAAAACGCCCCCGGCGCGGTGGAAGAGCATGCCAGGGCCCAAGGAGAAGGCTCCCACACCTCCTGCCCCGAAACCAAAACCGCAGATGCGCCGGGCGTACACCGTTGACCCGCGCCACCACGACACAGGACTGGATAATGGCTCTTCCCACCAACCACCATTTGGCAGCAGCGCAGACGTACAGGTAGAAGAAACAAGAGAAGAAAAAAGAAACTCGGATGAAGAAAACGGCAGCGGTCTCATGAACTGGAAGTCTGTGCTCCGACCAGTAAAGCGGACAGAATCAGGTAGAGGATCACCAGCTCCTCCGGATATTCAGCAGAGTAGAAACGACACAAGTAGCGGTACCCTGAACCAATCTCCTAGGAATGCCCCACACCCACCCAGCGAGCCAGTTGCTAACAATTCTGCAAATTTCTCAATGGAGTCTGACAGTCTCCCACCACCGCTGCCAGCAAACACCATCAGCAATCGTCTCTCGATAAACTTTCTCGACCTCCCTCCTCCGGAAGAGTTCATGCTGGTCCCTGGTGCCGAAACGGGAGAAACCAGCACTGAATCTCCCTCGTTGCAACGACAAAGCTCTCGTCCTTCGTCTGGCAGAGTCCAGCGAACTCCGTCCCCTCCTCCTCCCCCACCTGATTCTTCTCCGCCCAGAGAGCCGTTTGGCACGAGTCCACTAGTTGGAGTCAAATTCCCACCTCTCGGCAGGCAAACTGCCCTCCCTACCTTTCCTCAGGATGATGCACCTTTCAAGGTCCCCAGCCCCATCCCTAGTCCAATAAATGCAGGTAGCTTTGAGAACGATACGGTTGCCATCTTGCCTCCGAAGGAGTTCATTCCTGCGAGTGAACTGCAAGGATTCAGAATACCAACGCCACTCGGTTTTGAGATCCCAACACCACCCAATGATGACTTTGGTGCAGGCAGCAATGGTTCCGATCTTAATGAGGCCATTCGGCAACTGCAGTTACTCTCCGAAGGCCTTACCACACCTCCTTCTGTGAGTAAAGAAAGTTCACCACAGAGCAAACCTCGGCAAGATGCGACTAGTGGCAAGAGGAAAGAAGCTTTTCCACCTCCTGTTGTACCAGAGCCTGTGACTGTTTCAGATGCTCCAGCGTACCCGCCACCTTCACGTAGCCGCTCTTCTACCTCATCCTCCAATGTTTCTTCCTTGAATAGGTAGGTACACATCACATCTTGGCACACATTCCATGTGGTGGGCCAGTTATTCGCAAGGAAATGTGGAAATAGTGGCACTAGGGATCAATTAATGTTATCGTAGCACACTATGCAGCCCAACATTGAGTCAGAGAACCACTTATATACCACCTGCGTATATACATATAAAACATCCTGATGTTGTTGTATTGTATACTAGTGTGTTTGTTACCTGCCCATATTAGGGACCCAGAGACTGAGCAGCCACCTGCACCAGAAGCAACAAAGACCCAGGCACATGTAAGTCTATAAAATTCATGCAACCTCAAATCACCTTATGAAACCTGACGTTCTCTTGCAGGTTCCTGCAACAGCAACCCACCTGGAAAAGCCAGTGATGGAGTGGGAGGTCAAAGAGGTTTGCCAGTGGCTGGAGGCTATCGGGCTTGGCGAACACTGCCCCCAGTTCCGTGAAAACGAGATCCTTGGCGAACATCTATTAGAACTCACCAAGGATGAGCTTGCCGAGCTCGGGATCAAGAAGATAGGGCACAAAAAGACATTCTTGACTAAAGCAAAAGAGCTTGCAACATCAACATAGCATTCTTGTACTAACTCACTTAATGATGAATAGATTATTGGTATATTTTCGTTTTATAATAATTTAAGTACGATGGGATGAAAACCAAATGAACACACCAATATGCAAATTAGCACAAATGTTGTGAAGTGCTCAGGAAGTGGGGTGCAGGCTCAGTGTGCCTGTGCACATTTTGGGCTGTCTGGTCACTTTGGAATAGCTGTTGGCATTTTTCAATAATTGCCGAGCGTGTTAGCGTGAGGCAACTACTCTGGGTTGCATTCTCGCGATATGCGTACGTGTCGGTCACGTTTAAGAATGTAAATTAGTCACGCTTATGGAATGTAAATTAGTCACGCTTAGGGAATGCCAATTAGTCACGCTTGGGGAATGTAAATTAGTCTCGCTTAGGAATGTCAACATCCGTAATTCGTAAGTACTACAGTGCGCTCGCGCAGATTCGTAGCTTCGCGCGCAGTCAGTATATAGAGCGCGCGAACGAGCGGCCTCAGCGGACTGTTTACGCACGCGCGCATTGGCTGGCAGGCGCGAGGCAAGATATGCGCGTGCGCATTCCTAGTATATTGTTACGTTTTCCTATATTATAGCTGCAGGAAATACGACTGTGACGGTAATTCATGACGCAAGGCGCACGGAGCAACTGGAGCCCCGCCTTTTTTCTCTAGTGTGAGTGAGCGATCTGGCTATGGCCCTTCAACTTCTCTGTTTAGTAACTCTAGCAGGATTTATCATCGGAGGTGAGCGTACCACACATTGCATTGCCATCTAGACGATGAGTTACGACATTGTCACACATACAGTGAGTGCGGAGACTTGCGACGGTGAAGGATCGCTGCGACTGGTCGGTTGGTTGGAAGCCGACGCAGGTAGACTAGAAGTATGCCACAATCGGGAGTGGGGCACCATTTGCGTGAACCAATCCCTTGACTTGTGGCCACACAAGAACGCTGAGGTTGCCTGCAGAGACATTGGCTACGCCGGAGCTCTAAACTCGCTCTTCCATCACACGTAAGACGACTTACGACAAGCATAGAAGTTCTATTATGCTACAAGAGAGTTTGGTTTCCTAAACAAGATTCTTCAGCTTATCTATGCTCCTTTATTGGGACTTAGTTAACCCTTTTACACACAGGATTCCAAGCGATAAGCGAGTAAGGGAGGACAGCGATGTGCCGATACATTTCAGCCAAGTGAGGTGTTCAGGAGAGCAGAGATCATTGTTGGACTGCCCACTCTCAGAGATCACAGAGCAATGTACTCATAACCAGAATGCAGCCATTGTATGTAGAAGAGGACGGGCCTGTGAGTATATAAGAAGTTGAATGTGGACGTGTCTATTTACAAGACGTTTGTCGTATCTTATAATGATTTGCTGCTTTGGGAGTCCGTTGTACGCAAAGGAGGTGCATGATGCATCTATAGTGGGTGGGTCAGTCTATCACGGCATTTAATTCAGCTGGTGATGTTCGTCTGGTGGGTGACCAGCGAGATACAGTGGGAGCAGTGGAGCTCTACCACCCCATGACCGGGTGGACTGGGATCTGTGCCGATGCCAACTACATCCACATGTGGAGAGACAACCGGCGCGCTGCTGAGACTGTGTGTGCACAACTTGGCTACTTGGGAGGAACTCCTTACGTCCAGAGGTCTGTTAGCTGCACGAGACTTCCCCAAGGCAGTTGCCTATGCTATGATGTTGGGTTTGACTTCCCCCACCAAATGATTTCATTTCCTGTTGGCACCATACATATTATATACACTTCCTGTGGGAGGTCATGGGTTTGAATAGTAAAGCTGGAGTGCAAAGGTTTTGTCGAGGTACTTTACAGGCAGCAAGCTGGTCGTACACTTTAAACACTATGGGCCTTACACACTAGGCCAAAAAATGAAGTAGTAGTTAATCTTTCACTGTCCAGTCTGCAGAGATCTGCTATTAGCGATCGGAAGGTGGTGGTTGGAAGCTGTGCCAGTGGGGCCATCTTCGACCTCACAGACTGCGACATATCGACTATAGAGGACTGCCGTGGTGATGATCTGGCCTGGGTTCAGTGCTCAACGACTGGTAGGTTGCTTTCCGATATATATTATTATGCAAGATGTACGTTTTGTGTGTAAACACATTCCCTCTGCATTAAAGCTTTTTTGTGAATGTTTTTCTTTCACATGTAGCATTCTTGATAGTTATTATTAATTGCCAACATAACCCATGCAAGTAATGCTGAACAACTCATGACTTGGCAAATACACGTCCTTAAAACTCAATGAATAATATAATGGAATCTTCGATAAGGGACTCTCCGAGATAGAAACAACCTCTCTACAAAGGGCATTTGTTTCAACCGCATGCTAAATTAGTACTTTAAGTGCAACTTGACCTCCAACCTCTAAACAAAGGACAAAATCAATTACCCTATAGTGTTTCCCTTGGTTGGAGGTTCCATTGTATACTCATGTACTGTACGCTATTCAGGGAGAAATGGTGGTGCTAGTAAAGTTGGATCAGAGCGAGAGGGAGTGATGCAGGTCCAGTACAGTGGTAGGAGGGGCTTCATCTGTGACAATGACTGGGATAACATAGATGCTCAAGTGGCGTGTTCGGAGTTTGATCAATACAATCGTAATGCCGACACCACCCCAAAAAGAGAGTAAGTTTTACGCCATACCAGTAGCACGACACTGTACTTATCTATCAGGTATAATAATAGCAAGAATAGGTGGCTCCTCACATGATTGTATATACAAGAGTGTGCCGAAAGCAAATTGTTTTGCTGTGTATGTTTCTCTGCAGCTATACGGAGTTTGTCAGTGACTTGAAGCCCATCTGGTTGGGAGGTATTGAGTGTACTGACAAAATTGTGGGCGAATCAAGCAGAAGAGATATTGTGGAGGTCGGCTAACGTAATGCAATGCTCTTCGCTATGTAGATTAATCGTTGTTAAAGGTCATTGAAAGTTGATGGCCGTGCATGGAATTTGCGACCTGAGGCAAATTCAGCAAAATAATAATTATTATGGTGTCCTATTATACTTAGAATGTTGTCACAGTCATCCAAGTGGCGGGCATGGTGTTGCATTATGTAGAGTAGCAAATCGTATGTTTCTGTCCTTGAATTGACAAATTGTTTGACATAAGGTTTTGGGATTTACAGAGTAAGATAAAGGAGTGTGATTATTCTGAGCAGTATCCCATTGGACTCACAGAGTGTAACTTTGTGTCAGAGACAGTGAGAGAGCACAGGCTTGCTCAAATTGACTGTGGTAAGCTATAGTTAGCTAAAGACCTTTCAGCACTGTGTAAAAGTTAGCCTATCGGCTGTGTATTACTTTTCTATAACTCCTGAGGTGTGTTGCTGTGCAGATGAGTAATTACCCTCGGCGCGCATGCGCAGCGAGGGTACTGACGGGAAGGCTTGCCGCGGTCTGATCGATCCGCGTGCTCTGCGTACCTCGGAGGCACCAGAAGATGCAACGCAGGGCCTCTCGCATGCGATCTAGTAGTGTAGTTAGCCCGCGTCAGACTCTGCGCGAGCTGGCAAGAGACCACGAGTAACAGCTAAAACTAAACCCAGCCCATCGATTAGTGATACAGCGCATGCGTTTACCTACGCGTGCGCGTCACAATGCGCCGAGGGTTTGCACTTCAGTGCTATTAGTTGGGTCTGTCTGTCTGTTACTCTACATCTCACCTCTCGAATGTCTGTTCGTCCCAGAAACGATACCATCTACCCAACGGGTGAGGAAGGTCAGAAAATATGTGGGATTTTCTCTGAAAATGCTCCGTTGAGCGCTTCCAGCACTATGGCTAATGCCATTTTATCGCTGGCGGATAATGCGCATGCGCTTATATTTAGCACAAGTTCGACCAGGTCCGCTTGCTCTGTCTATCTTGAAGGCACAAGAAGTCACAACGAATGGCGTGTATCGACTCTCGCGTGCTATCTACTATACTGTAGCTAGCCCGTGTCAGACTCTCTGCGAGCTACTTCGCACTTTCCCATTCAAGTAATGGGTGGTGGTCTGATGGATAAGCACCCCCACTCTTGATCGTGAGGTCCCTGGTTCGAATCCAGGGTGTGTGCGCCTTTTTTACAATGATGTAATAGGAGTGTTGGTATATATGGAACGTTTTTTCATCACATCTCCAGGCCAGCCCGAGTGGCTAGGTGGTTAGAGTCGTGGGGACTGACACCATAGGTGCCCGGTTCGAATCCGATCCCGCACTAAAGTGTCAGGTGGTCCAGAGCATTGGCTGGGAACAGCTCTGGTTCCTCCCCTTACCCACAAATCTACCACTGACCCATGTTTCTCAAAGGGCAGCGTATAGTTCGGCATAGCACTGCGTCCGTAGACGTCTGTCTGGAGAGATGAAGGGCTGGCCGTTTAAAAATCTTTTTTTAAAACCTGCACTAAACAATCCACGGATAATACGAAAATTAATAGAGAGATGGAAGGTTGGCAATCAACCTTATATATATTTTTGGCCTCAAACAGAAATAGGGCTGACATATTTTTTTGAAATAATCCATGGAAATGGCGCATAACATGCTGTTCTCTTTTTGATGCATGGTCAAGACCATCAATTGTGGTGGTGCCACACTTGTGTATGGGTTCCACATTTCTATAGAGTGTGCCGAGGGTTTGCACTTTAGTGCTTTTCATTGTTTCCCTTCATTTGTCTTGAAATCTCGTAGCCTGTGGTAGACCAGTTTTCCAATGTATATGATCAATGGTCCCTCTGCTTTTGACTGCCATTGAGCAATTTTGTTAAACAACCATGGAAAAGAGAAGGGCTGGGCGCTGACGCTAATAATAACATGCCCCTTGGCTGTTGGGTATTATAATGGATTGAACACTTCACTATGCTTCGAAAAAGCTAGTATCTCAGCTGATGAGCGCTCATCTAGAGTGCAGAGTGTCGTGGGTTCAAATCACAACTAGGACGGCTCTTTCTCCTTGAAAAATAGGAATTCTTCTGGGCGTTGTAGCTATTGTTTGCTTTCCTTGAGACATAATAATTATTACAGGAGACGCAGGACTCAGTTCTTCGGCAGTGGCGCTTATAGCAGGGGTTTGTGTGGGGATCATACTCCTGTGTTGCTGCTGTGTCTGCACCGTCTGTTTCTGCTGTGATGAGCATTCAAAAAGAATCGCTGGAAGGTATGTGCATCTTTACCCATCACTGTATAATTATATAATATAGGCAAATCTGAGGTAACCCGGTGAAGAAAGAAGGGCTTACATTACTCATAGGATAGCACAGAACTCGCCATATCTCTAGTCAGAGGTCCAGCAAAGACCTGAGGTGGTCCTAGAAGCCGAGGGGGATAGTTTGCTGCTGAGTGTTGTGCGAGTTGTATGGTACTATGTACTATGATAATTTTTTTAGTTTGGCATGATTGAAAAAGAAACCTGCTAGTAAGAGACATGAATTTTGTGTAAGATAAGAGAGTGATGAAAATAATGTTGTTACACTTGAACTATTATCTGAAGCAAGACGGTGTGTGAGAGAATGATAGGCAGAGACTGCTGTAGAGTGCCCGGCCGTGTCTCCCACTGTGTCCACACCGTTCACACAAAACTGAGAGCTCCGAAAAGAACGGAGGTGGCAGCCAACGACAGACCGGCCACACTCACAACTACCAATGTCCCACAATATACTGTAAGTATTATTATATATGACTTGTTTCTACATACTCTATCAAGTGTGTATATTGAATGAAGGCCTAATGCCACTTCTTTTCTCAACCCTTTTTCACCATTCTTTCAGTCTGCCATGCGTCAGATCGGGAGCGACATGCGCAGATTAATCTGATGTAACATGCTGCAAAAAGCTAACTGTGCCTGCTTACATAACTCAAGCAGACTAGCAGTAGATAGCAAGTTTATGCAGCGTACATAAGGCCTGTTGCACATTGTATGCAGGAACTGTTTACCACAATGCAGGCTACTGCTACATCTGACCAAGAGATGACAGCAGTAATGAGCAGTGAAGACCGCAATAAAGAGCCAAGTGAGAGGTCCAGTGTCTACTTCACACCGAGAGAAGAACAGCAGACAGAATTGACTAGCGATACTCCACCTTCTTATGCCCAGTCGTCACACTATCCCACCCCTTCACTCTCTAAGATCCAGACTACTGTCTAGCCCCCTCATAATAAATTTAACATTGATGCAAAGTATTAATGTGTCAAGTGACAATTTTAATGGCACTGTATATACAGGTATAGGAGAATCACAGTGTGAATACATGGCGAGTGCACATCAAACAATTCCACTAGGACAACACTTTTATTTTTTGAGAAAAAAATCTGTCCTCGATGAGGCTCAATCCCACTACACTCTGCTCTCAATGAAAAGGAGCTGCCTTAGCTGGGACTCTTACAAGAACAGAGAACTCTACCACTGAGCTACCATGACAGCAGCTCAACAGGCAGGGCTCAAAATCTGCTATACAATTATATACATACATTATAGAACAGTGATATGTGGACAACAGGTCACTGTACATTGTCAGAAGATAAGTGAATTTCATTGATTCTGAGGACAGTCGTATCTTGCCGATGACCTACAAGGGATGATTTAGGACGATCTTCAAAACGACCCCAAGCAAACTCCGCATCCTGTTAATACAAACCTAGTGATGGGTCCTAGCTTTAAAATCTTCTCTAGTGGTTTAATAGCTGATGCAGCACAAATACTGACTACTGCAACCCTTGGTGAGCAAATGAAACCCTGACCACAGGCATGTACGTAGCTAGAGTTGCAAAACCATGTGTTTGGTTCTCTATTCAATTTATTTTACCTGGGCCAGTGCTTGGTATAGAGAACACTAAGCTTCTGAATTAGGTGTGGTACAACATGTTTAGATATGTCTATACACATGAAGGTATTAGACCATGTGATGCCAAGAGAAAAAAGATGTGGAGCTCTGGACAGCTGTTTCGGGCTTGTTGGCCCTCATCAGCAGAGCATACCGCAACTTCTCTCTCTGGCATCACGAGTATAAAGGCTACCTGTATACCTACTACCTCTCTTTCGTTTGTAGTTCTTTCTTCTCTTCTTCTTGAAGACAATGACTTTGGCGGACCTGCCGTGCTCTATGACTGTAGCACTCACCCTAGCTGCCTCCTGACTGCACACATACATAAGAAAGAAACATTTCATATTTGGAAATTTGCAGAGAACCCTTCATAATAATATCATGTGCTGTACAATGGTCAACTTCATGCACGGCTGAAAAAGTTTATTCCCTCCAAATTACCCCTTATACGGTACATTGTACATTTACCTCAGGAGTGGTGTTCCAATGAGTGTAAAGTTTTCAGACCCAGCCAGCAGTCGACCTGTGAATGTGTGTTGTTACATCAACTCTCGTCGTGCATGTGCAGCGAGGGTTACAGTACTTTTTCGTAGGTATATACACTGTGTTCAAATGTTAGGCGTGAAACCCAAGTCAAGGTTATTGTGATATAAGCAGTGGTACATTGGTGTATGGTAATGAAGGACCTTCTGAAGAAAGATGCTTTCTCCTACATCTGCTGGTATTCTGTTGATTACTATCAAGTCATTCTGTGTAATCTTGAACTGACGACCACCTATACAAAACAACAGATCATTTTTAGTGAAAAATAAAAACCAAGACACTTACTGATATGCACAACAGCAAATATTTTGTCTGGCGACACATCTGCAATTTCTTCCTTCACCTTTTCCACCACCTCTGAGTAGGAAATGAATAGGAAATCATTATTATTTTGTAAGTGAAACAACCAAGCTCATGCAGTATCTCTGAACTGTGTTCAACGTAACAGTGTCTGATGTGCATCAGTTGGAAAAACACTTGCCCTCTGCTCACAAATCAGAGCAATATCGTTGCCCACGTTCAATTACCTGATTTAGTTGTAGGACCCGTTTCTTTAGTCGACCAACCGGAGAGAAGTCCAAGTGGCCTGTAGGTAAATGCAGCACACAGCAATAGGTGCCTCAAGAAAAGACAAGGGAAATGATTGGGCTCTTTTGAGGTTATTTTAGTGAGTGGATAAAGCCCGTCAGAAATCATACCTAGTCTGCAGCCTTTCAATTGGATGACTTGCTGCTAGGCTGTGCCTGTAAGTGCCCGGAGACTTTCTCAGCGGTTGCCACAGACAGTCGCGTACTCCTGGCGTTGAGCCGAGCCCTCGGACTAGTCTGAGGCCATTAGAAGCTAGGCTTCTCCTCGGTACCAACCGAATGAGCCCACCACCACACGCAGCCATTGCTCCTGAGCGCCTGTTCTAATTGGAGCGCACGGCCCACGTGGTGACAACTCTATAGTAGTATATAGCAAGCAGTCAGGCATGAGCGCCTGTTTAGTCCCTTTGCACCACTTCCAGGTCGTGGCTCACAATAAAGTTACATGGTATTTTATATGCGTATTTTTTTCTGCCACGTAAAACTCTTTTTGTGTCAGATGGATGGTTCCTGCTGGGAAGCTCAGCTTTGACGGGAAAGATATGGGACGGGAGGCTAAGCGTGTTCTCTGACTATGACGACTACCTCCAGTGCCCCAACCTGGAAATGATCAGCTGTGACACTCAGTCTGGAGTCAACGATGCTCTCTGGTATGAGTGTAGTTCGTAAACATTTGCATTCAAGAAAAAAATCGAGACATCTGAACAGTAGGAGTAAATCTTACTGGAAGAACCGGTGGGTTGGCTAGTACTATGTGTAAAGTAACCATTAGAATTGTACATATGTATGATTCTATATCAAGAGTGTGCACGTGTGCTATTCATTGAAGGCTATCGGATGAAGGGTGCCTGGTCGCAGGCACCGACAGTGGCTGTCTGAAGGTCTATCGATTGAAACAGAAGACAGTCGACGATGCAGAGACCCACGTCCAGGCTCACGATGATGTCATTGTGGGCGTGGCACTGCTGGCCGGTGGGAATGAGACAATTGTCTCAGTTGGTCTGGACTCAAAGTCAGTTGGGAATTGTAATAGCTATGTACATGTCTCTCTCAGCGAGCAAACATGAGAGGGACACTCATGCATATTACATGATTGCAATTCTGTTTCGTCTATCTAGTATTACTACAGTATGTAAAATGCATACAGATTCATGTATAACACTGCCCAATTGCGAAGACTACAGGAGACTCGCTTCACTCGCCAATAGAATAGTGAGGTGTCCTTATGTCAGAGGTACAATTGTATGCTAGATTAGAGAGGTATATACTCATTTCAGGGGTGTCCTTAGATAAAATTGTATGCCATAATGTCTTGTGGATTTTTTAGGGTTGTCATATCCAGTATAAGGCAAGAGAGAGTTCTCCATACATACAGAGGTAAATGCCATTATGTATGTGAGTTTTGTATATACTAGCTATATACTGTGTTTGTGCGTATGGAGTGGCAGTGTGTTGTGTTCAGGTCACAGTGATGCTGTGCTAGCAGTGGTTTCTCATCCAACGTCTGAATCCATCTTCATCACTTCTTCCAGGGTACGTTTGTACAGGTATATACTGTAGCTACTGATATCCTACGTACCTGAGTCGACTCATCATTGACTATTTCCACAGGACGGATGTATTCGTCTGTGGGACACCAGGAAACCTCGGCCAGCCTCCAATCTTGAAAGTATTATGTAGTGTACTCATTGTGTGCTTTGGATGGTGCCACGTGTTTCATACCAGTTTGCCATTCCACTTGAGACTAAAGGGAACTACAGATTTAGGTCTGCCGTAGTCACAAATGAAGTTATGCACAGCACTCTCAGGCTATTTGTAGGTGGATGGCTGTTTTTGCCTGTTCTTCCTTCTACGTGCTAACTATATTATAATAGTACAAACTCTACCTACTTTTCCTTATGAGTTAAGTACTTTTGTGAGTGATTGTGCGGAATTCTCCAGATAGTGAAGGGATGATGCCCCATTCCAGGTCATGTCGGCATGTGTACCTCTCTGGCTTGGTCTTCTTCTAATAAGGACAAAATTGCAACTGGTAATCAGACATTCACAAGAATATTGAGCTATATGAAAATAGCCACGGGTGATTGGGTTTTGAGTTGTCCCGCAGATTCCAACTAAGGTCTAGGTACAGTGGGACCTCCGAATAATGAAAATATTGGGACAGAAATTATTTGGAGATTGTGAGGTATAGCTACATAGGAATAATTAGAGAGTAATTCGCTTTTGGGGGAGTTCATTATTGGATGTCCCACTGTAGTTGTTGCATTAGTCTATAGGTCACAATGCCTGGGTTTTAATGCTTCTCGTTTACTAAGACCATTGCCTCCTTATTGACATACTGTGTGTGTTTGGTGGTTGCAGGTTGTCAAAACGGTAGAGTGTGTATCACAGACTGGAGGAAATGGTCTGAGAATCAAAGCTGCTTGCAAAAGTTCCAACTTCACAAAAGAGACGTAACCAAACTTGCTTTTGCTCCGTGGAAGTAAGTCATCATAATATCAGAACTGCTATGTATGTCGGGTATACTGTCTTTATCATGGTGGCTAACCTGAGGGGCCAGTGTAAATCTGTCCCTGCCATTATCCCTCATTTTTGTGGACGTGACATCCCAGCAATGTTGATATTTTTGGGTCGGCCAGCCTTATAGTCGCACAGCGAGAGGACACATAGTGTGTGCCTCACATTGGGCGCAGGCTTGCCCCACGATAAACACCTGATTGACAAACTGTAAATTGATGATACACAGTTGTAATGTGGTTGCCAGTGCTTCTGAAGACACTTCTGTGAAAGTCTTTTCCGTCACTACTGAATCCACCATGTAAGTCTCAGTATATACTGACCTTATTTTATTCATAACCTTGTGTGTGTGTGTGTGCGTGTGTGTATGTGTATGTGTGTGTGTGTGTTTACGTTCAGCTACAGCAGTTCTCAACATACTGACTATGTGTACGGAATATCGTGGCATCCTTCCAAACCTTGTCTCCTCTCCTGTGGCTGGGACAGTCAGCTACTTCTTCATCACGTGACCACTGACAAACCTTCTGCTGGTATAGTTGCAGCGTTTTAGTGTTCCGTATAATAGCAGGAACTAGTAGTTTCAAAGCAAACTGCACCATAATAATAATTATATCTTTGCTGGACAGGGACATTAAACAAGCAATCCCAATAACGTGATATTTTTGTTTGCTATTATTAAGTTGTAAGCTAATTTTTCTATGTTTCTTTCCAGGGACTACTGTGTCTATGGAAACAAGTGAAAATTGTGCTGTTTTTAAGGATCATGAGCAATGAACTATAGCACCTATGTAACCCTCGGCGCGCATGCGCAGTGCAGTAGTTGGTGTCCATGTTTCGACGCTGATTTTGGCACTATATACAGGCTACGAGGCGGCCTATTAGCGATGCCAAAGGCTGCAGAACTACGCGAGCCTGAAAATTAAAAAGGCGATTTTCCTGAAACGACAGCGTTCGAGAGATATGCCGTGAAAGCAAGCAAAAATGCATAATCGCGCTGGCTTACCTCGACTTGATCCGCTCGCTCTGTGTATATACCTTGGAGGCACAAGAAAAATGATAATGAATGGCGTGTATCGACTCCCGCATGCTATCTACTAGTCCGTGTCAGACTCTCCGCGAGTTACTAGCGTGGAGACCACGAGTAAACGCATAGCCCAGCCTACCTATCAGCTGTATATACCGCCCATGCGGGTTTGCACTTCAGTGTGGTGTTGGCGAGAATATTTCGTGATTGGAAACCCTCGGCGCGCGTGCGTGGGGGAAGGAGAAGGCCTCGGTTCGAGGCTACTATAACTGAGCCTGAGGCCATGCCCTATATACTTGGAAGAATACACGAACACAAGGCCCTGGCGGCCGGCGCGCGATCGACGATCCGCTAAGCACGGAATATTACTCCTTTTCAAGCAGTGGGCCATTGGGGCCTGGTACCTGATGTGATGCGGCGCTCGCGCGGTTTTCACGTAGCTACCGTCTTCGATGCCAGGCGCGCAGGGAGATGGTATGGTCTATGGGAGCTGCATTATGAACTCCCGCGTACGGTGGCCGAGAGGGGAATTCCCTCACTGCTGGCCGACACCGGCCCGCCCTAATAGCGATGTCGGCCCGCACTAGCAGCGACATCGGCCCTACGTCGGAGCGCACTGTGTCCGATGTCAATTGTGCCCGACGTCGGTACGCACTGTTTGCGTCGTCGGTCCGCACTGCTAGCGACAGCGGTCCGTACTGCTAGCGCTGGTGAAGCAAATTTTCAGTGGGTGGAGTTCCACTATGGCGAGTAGGGGTCATGTAGTCGTTCCATCCAGGGAACTAGACAGTTTTTCAACGTTGTACTTTTTGTATGCCCCATACACGGGGACTGTAGAAGCAGCTAGCAAGGTTAGGTCTCAAAAGGAGCCATCGCGTTTGGAAATAGGTTTGAAAATCACCAATCATCTTACCAAAGAGAGAGGACTTACCTTGATTTTCAAACCTATTTCTAAACGCGATGGCTCCGTTTGAGACCTAACCTTGCTAGCTGTTTCTACAGTGTATGGGGCATACAAAAAGTACAACGTTGAAAAACTAACTGTCTACTCGCCATAGTGGAACTCCACCCACTGAAAATTGGCTTCACCGGCGCTAGCAGTACGGACCGACGTCGCAAACAGTGCGGACGAACGTCGCCAACAGTGCGGACCGACAACGCAAACAGTGCGGACCGACGTCGCAAACAGTGCGGGCCGACGTCGGGCACAATTGACATCGGACACAGTGCGCTCCGACGTCGCTCCGACGTAGGGCTGATGTCGCTGCTAGTGCGGGCCGACATCGCTATTAGGGCGGGCCGGTGTCGGCCAGCAGTGCAGGAATTCCCTTCTCGGCCATATACCGGCGGGCCCCCGCGCCCCGCGTAAACCTGAGCGCGTGTAATATAATTATGGGCGCGGCGCGGGGTGTCGACATTGCGCGTGCGATGCGACTTCACAGCACGTCGTTCGCATCAATCGAATTCAATGTCGGGAGCCTGGTTCTGCTTTATTGTTGGCGGCGTGGTGCTGCTAAGTGCTGGAAATTTGGTTGCAGCAGAAGGTAAGTGTTGCACCAAACTTTGCCCATATTATAGTGCGAAGTGTGCTGCAATTATAACTAGGTGAAGGGGAAAGCTTGGAACCATGCTGCAATAATGATCTACTGATGCCATCTGTGACTGTCTCACTTACTAACTTGCCTGATAATCTCACCCTATGCACATCCAATTCAATGACTGATGTTGCTATTCCTTACAATGAACCAATAAATGTGACCTACTCGTGTCAGATTAGCAGCGGTACTATATTATGGCAGTTGGGTGGATGCAGAACAGATCGAATGAATGGCAGCATAACCTACCAAATGGTGGACAATGACCAATTTTTTAACCATGGTGTCATCATACAAAATGGCTTATCATCCATGTCTACATTGAACCTTCTTCCTGAAGGAAGGCAATTTCTAAGGAATCAGTTGCAGTCAGATGTCATCACTATTCAGTGTTCGGCTGTTGTGGACAACCTGAACGTATTTGGTGGTGATGTTTATCAACTGCATCTCTATGGTATAGTAACTACAATTTTTGCCCAGTTTCGCGCGTAGTTATATAGAATCATCACATACGACATTACGGTATGTGGAATGTGGCAGTCTGGGTCACAACATATTCCACATTCAGACGACTAGGTGGCTCGCCAATAATAATATCTAATTTTAATGCTCATTGCGGTGCACCTGGATGAAAATCCCAGTAGTATATATTTCAAGCCCTCCTCTGCATTCTGTACTCAATCAACTGCATAAACACCAATGTGACCCCCAACCTCCCCCTCCCTTATAGATCATCCATGTGCACCGAAAGGTTTGGTTGTGTATCCCAAGAACAGCTCATTGAACTTGCTGCAATGGAACAGGCCAAACTGTGTTAACATTAATGAACTTGTTTTGCTAAGATACAGAGTAACTGTTGAAAGGATCGACAACGACATGATTATTTTTGAGGTAGGGATCATTAAAGTGCATTAACTGTGTGCATTAAATATTTTACTATGTTCGCAGGCTACAACAAATTATACTTGGATGGAGGTATCCCTTCCCATAGTTGCATGTGATGAGCCTTTCCTGTTTTCTGTTGTGGCTACAAGTGAATGTACAGAGAGCAGTGAACCTGCAACTGTGATTGCTACTATACCGCCACGTAAGCAACTTTGCATTGTGAATATTCAGTGTGCAGTGGTCATGGTTTTGCTTCGGGTGCAACAATTTCACTGTAGGGTGCAGTACACATGTTTAAAAATTCATTGTATGATATTTCTTTTGTGCAGTTGTTGACATCAAGGATGTAAGAGAAACGTTGCATATTACCATTGACTTGGGAGATGTGGGAGCAGTATGTATAGTATTGTTATTAAATGTGAGTTACGACGGACAGACACTTCTACCCACTCTGTGACTAATGCCTAACATAATCATGAATGTCCTTTGGGGACTTTGTAGTATGTGACAGTTTTTTTAATCTCTTCCCACCCATAATGTGGACACACACACACACAACAGCATACATTATCCGAGGCCTGTAGACAAGATAATGCGGAACCTGGATCAAGTGGTCTCTTGCTGCCACTGTGTCTCAACTACACAGCCAGTGCTTTGGGAGGGAATGCCACTGAATCAGTATACACCTGCATGGACAACGAGAGTCTGGAGATCAGACTTTGCTCTCCAGACTTCCAGCAGAATATGATATATGAAATCTACCTCTCTGCATGTGATGGGACCATTGATGTCTGCCAAGACCTTCCTCCAATACCAATAAGTAAGTTTAGTAATGACTATAAGGTATGAAAACCATTTTGTATTATGCTCAGGCACGGCTCAGTTGCAGAGTGCCAGCATAGTTTTCTTTGGAACTGTTGCTCAATTTTCTTGTGCCTTTGCTGATAATATACCTATTACCTCCAATGCCTTGTGTGAGTTTACTCTTTACATGGCTGACGGGTCAGAAGAAAATTATATGATTCAACCAGCGACTACCAAACATCTCCCTGTTAAAGAGACAAGGTTTGCATAACAAATTCTTTGAAGTCACCCTGACATTTTAAATTTTCAGAAATGCATACGTGAGGTTTATGGCCAGGTATGGTGGCGAATCTCTATCCCCTACTGTGACAGTTAGAACAGGTATGTTAATAGCAATCAAAGTTGTGGAGGCAATGGGCCATTATGCAAGTAAGTGGTAGGGAAAAATATATATTGACATTCCAACATGGTTCATGGGTATTGTATCTTCTCCATAACCCATGTGCAAATAGTTATGGCGTACAATTAAGACATGTCTTAGGCATAGTATGCCATTATTATTAAATAAGAAAACTTGTTTTTCAAGTATAAACTGGAGAAACCTATATCACTTTACTGAAAAGCTTCTTGCACATTTCTGAATGTGCAAGAAGCATGCTTCCGGCACATTCATAAATAATATGCAGGAAGAATTAAACAATGTGTAGGAAGATTTCCAAAAAGTGTAGGGATAATTTCAAAAAGTGCAGGTAGAAATGAAAAAGTGTATATAGGAAATATTCCTGCCAAATCCCCATATTTTTGACATGTGCAGGAAGCTTCCTCATATTCTTCCTGCACATGAGCAAGTTGTGCGGGAAATTTCTTACATTTTGCTTGAAATTCCTGCACATTTAGGAAAGTTGTGGCACATTCCCCATACATTATGATATGAGTTTCTTATTTAAATGAGAGTGTGTTTATTCCAGCCTACGGTTTATCATTTTCCCTGTCGGCAGGGATTGAGGGCGCCTCAGCTGAATGGTCAACTTTCACCTCCCAGCTTAAACTCAGCTGCTCCCTGTCTCCTAGTAATCCAGCAATGGGCTGTATGTTTGTAATGCTAAGTTTATCCTCTGAGGAAACTCTGGAGACTATATTAGTACAGCCTGGGACCAGTGGCTGCACTAGCGCTGCCTATGAAATAAGTTGCTGCGATGTGGAATGTGCAGTCACATCTCAGTGAGCATCTTCCCCTGCACCTTATTTCCGTGTGCAGCAAGTTTTCCAAATTTACCCTGTTGTTTCCTTTTAGGGCTAGGTATAGAGTATATGGAATACATGGAGGGCACGTGGACTCTTCCATTGCGTTTGAGGGTAATATCACAGAGAATGACCAGAACAATCTGTGCCCCACCCCAACCACAGGTTAGCCATGCTCCTATAATAAACTGATTATGGCGCTTGCGTAGCTATACATATCTTCCTTACTCACTGCAGAAGTACCACTATTATCTACCATTACTCTAACAACAACAGTCACCAGAACTGAATGCCCAACTTCTACTAGCCCCGCCGTAATTATCAGAGAAACAGAAGGTATATAGGAGTTGAATGTGGGCAGTTTTTAAGTAAAAAAGGTTTAATGATGCGAATTACGAAAAAGATGCCTAATAAACACTCCCATTCATAACCACATCCCTACTAATTTGAGAATCCATTTTGGCTGTACCATCTGTCTGTAGTCTGGTGTAGCCTGTAGTCAGGTGACAGTAGCATCAACGACCCGTAGCCTCTGCAACTATAGTGACCCATCAAAGGAAGGAATTCCTTCTGTGATGATAAGTGCAATACTTAGTAGTGAGCCAGAGACACAAATTTAGGGGTCATGTCTGGGATTTAAGGTAGGCCAGGATAGTGTTATCCTAGCACTTACAGTCCCAATCTCAAACTGTGCCTATTGACAATGTGTCACTGGGGGGTTGGTTGAATGAAGACACACACATGCATCATCGTGTATGTGTCTGTCTCCTCACAGATTTCTGGGTAGTGTCAATAGTTTTACTTGAACGAATGCATGGCATTTTGACTAGCGAATTTGAGAGTCACACTTCAATTTAAGAGTTAAGTGGTGCATCAGTGCTGTCATCGTCCACCTAGACATTGAGAGAGAGTGATGGTCAGGGGTTTATACTGTCTACTTGTTGCTCTGTTCAATCCTTTCTAGACCTTAAAAAATGTGATCTGTCATGATCTTTCCTCCCCTCGTCCCTTATCAGTTGAGGAAGTTGGTCTCTCTGGAGGACCTGTAGCAGGTGTCGCTATTGGCAGTATATGTATAACTGCAACGATAATTGCGGTATGTTTTTGTTTATTCAAGCTTGCCACGAAAGGCATGGAAAGCTCTTCAACAACATTTGTTAATAACTGCTGTAACACCTAGCTACTGACAAGCAGAAGATTTCATAATTACTGTGGTAATCCTATCGTGGTTTTAGGTAGAACTCTGAATAGACGATGTATGTGAAGTACAAAATATCATTTGTTGGAATCTTGTGTATGAGACTGGGGTGAGAGAAAGTGCAGCCACAGATTGCATCAGTGCAGGATAGATGCCGTGATTTAACCCATGCGCAGCGAGGGTTATATACTATTCTGGCACTACAGGCTACGAGGTGGACCGTGAGTGGCTTCAGAATACGCGAACATGAAATAAATATAATGGCTGAAACAACTGCGATCGTGCGTGTCCATATCAACTTAGACTTATGCTGTTGCGCAGAAAGAGAGAATTTAAGTCGCGCCCTATGGTGGACTGCTACGTATGAGTCTATCTAGGACCTGTGCTACTCTCACGGCCAGCACAGTTCCCCAATTCTTTGCGCCACACGCGCTTGAATCGGCGCAGCACAACCGACAAGAGGATTAATACGTACCACTACACATCCAATATATACCACTAGAATCTACACTTATACGTAGCTAATAGTTCTAAGCAAAGTTTGGGTGCAGTTTCTTCTTCATCTCTTTATTCTTTTTTAACGGTGGTGACGCAAGTAACCTTGCGTAGCATGGCATTGTAGTAGCAGGTCATAGGCTTCATCCTTGGTGTGTATCTGCACCCCTTGCCTCTACGACAGCTCCTCGTGAAGAACTGGGTGTTGTAGAGAATGCGTCTGCTGGCCTCGGTTTCGGCATCTTCTAGCGGCCAATCTTCCTCCTCTTCGACCTTGGGATATTCTTCGAACGACGGGTTGAAAACGTCATCGTCTTGCTGCATTTCTGTGCCGTCAGGCGAGAATTGCTCGTCGACGTCGTAACGTCTGGCCAGATCCTCGAGAAAGTCGGCAGCGCTGTCCGGGTTGGGGTAGGCATTGGCGCACAGGCACATTGCACCCAAGATACCAGCCAGCAGGATACCAGAGAAAGCCATGGTTAAAAAGGCTGTCCAGGGAGTAGCAGTAATCGGTCGGTTAGAAGTTGTTTGTGCGGCGCCTGCACACAGCAACCTCCTTTTATCCCGACTGCACAGCCACGTCCAGTGAAGGGTCATGCATTCGGATCATAAGCAGTTTGTGAGGAAAAGCACATTGGCCATAACTTTCCTTATGTCTTTGGAAGGAAACATCACCAACCATTTCACCCGTGAGATACTGATGGCTAATTGTGTGTATAATACCTCGGCAGGAATCATGAGAAAAGCAGCAAAACTTAGCTATGCGTGACTAGTGTTTATCACAATGTTGCTATGTAGGGATGGTCTCACATGATGCAGCACTCTGGTCTCCAACAGCGCTGTTGAAGCTGATGTTCCGGTGGGGGGGCAACTTTATTGTATAATCTGAAGCACCGTACCTGGTGCGATAGGCAATAGTTCACACAATCAAGGTGCCCATCACTACCAACTTTCTGAGGATATGTCTCTGTATGTGCAGGTGCCACACAAACAACTTTGAAAAAGGTAAGAAATAGGATAACACTAATAGCTTAAATTGTGACATAAAGGTAAGAGAATTCTCCTCTGAGGGTTTCATTGCCTTTTAATTGGCAGAGTTCTTGTCACAAAAAACCTACTACAACTCTACATTTTGCAACTTGCGCTATGTCCCAAAATACACCTGTATAATTATATTCTACCTTGTAACATGCCATGCAGCTGCACCACGTACTAAGGTGTGGGATCTGGTCTCCACAAGTTTGACACGTCATTTTCTTACTCTTTTCCTGGCGCTGCGATTCAGAAAAGAGGCGGCTGCTGGTTCAGATGACTTTGCGGGTCCCCCTTGACCTAAACTTTTCTTTCGGCAAAGCATTATGTAACCACGAGTGCCGGCGCCATTGTGGTATAATGACTATATTATACAAAAGCATTAATCCTGATCAACATTTCATCGGTAGATAGGTATTAGTTCCAGAGGTATCGTGGATCGGAAAGGAGATCAGCCAACTTCTCATTGTGAGGTCTGTAGAACTCTCTCAGCATTCTCTCTGTCTCTGGCAGCATTGCAAACCTCTCCCTGTACTTCTCTGACTTTATCCAGTCATTTGTGTTCCACTCATGTCTTTTGGTGAAGGAAGCCTCCATCTGTTGCCTGGTTTGAGGAGGGAGGTCCAAAAAAACCCACACTCTCTCCATGGTGGAGTATGGATCCAGAGACAAATCCTCAGACCTCAGAAAGAGGTACCTTTCTCTGGGAATTACCCTCAACCAACGGGTTATGTGGTAGTAGTACATGCCTATGCCCAGCCGCAGTTCAAAACAGGAAGTTGATCTGCTGTTTTTGTCTCCCACAGCAGATCTACGCACACAGTCATAGTATACCGATATTCTCGCATGAACGTTAACAACACAGCTATGAAAGCGGAGTATTGATTCAGCTGTCAAGTTGTGAAATATTTGTGTCCCATTTTCGAGATAGCTGGCGGGAACAACAACATGGCCATTCCTAACCCAGTTCTGGTGTGAGCAAAAGAACCAAAAGTCAGAGAAAAGTCGCCTGACAGGATCACGCATTATTACTATGAATTTGGCAGTAGGTGTCAGCTCATTGATCACAGATGGTAACACAGACATGTCTGATTCTTCCTCAAACTCGTGCAAAACTCTCCAAAGCGTGGAAGGACTGGCATCAATCGTAATACTGCGTGGAGATTTTGATATCTGTCGCGCAGAGCTCTGAAACTGGTGCAGATACCAGAGGCTGTGTAATAACTTGTCTTCGTATGTACCATTGTCTTCGGTGAAAGTGGACCAGAAATGACCTTCTTTTCTGAGTGGTTTTGCAACTAATGGGTGTTGTGTTAGCATTTGATACAGTGCTGTGGTGCCACACTTGGGGAAGGCAGCAAGGTGTACAAGCGGCAAGCAGTAAAACTTCTGTTGATGTTGGGTGTGTATAACCGAGAGAGTGTAATTGATGTTAGACTTTAGAAACACACGGTCAGACGTGTTGGTACTACTACTGAACATTGGACGACGAATGGCTCTGAGACCTTGGAAGTAATCTGAGAGGTCATGTGGAATATACAGTGGGGAATGCCAGCAAGGGTTGCGGTACTTTTGTGAAAAGTTGCGTGGGACGACGTCAAACAGAGCCTTTGTGTAGCGTTTCACTCTCTTACATGTAGCAGAAAAACACACTTCGGCCAATAAACCTTTTCGCAATACTGAAACAAAAGACTACCACTAGCTAATAACGATAGAAATGATTCTTAGCTATTAGTAAAAACGTTACCTGGCTCATTCCCGCGGGGTAGGTGTGTGTATAAAGACGGCAGGTCTCCTCCAAAGTAGCAGCAGGCGAGGCCAAAACATGTCAATACCGCGATACGCGGCAGCTTTGTACGCATCACTCAATGTACCGCCCGCCCGCACCCGTCGGGTGTTGCATGTATGCACTGAGAAAGATTTATGTACCCATGATAAGCAAAAACAAAAACAACGTTTATAAAAACCAAAACTAAAACTACTGTAAGGTTTTGTGTTCACACCTGCGCGCACCGTAAACGCGGCACTTTTACATACATTGCGCATGCGCACACTCTACGCGCTACTATAAAACTGGCAACAGGAACAGAAAGATTTATGGCTACTGTAAGTGAGCGAAACTCCTCGGTCCCTTTGTGTTCAGATAAGTGACTTCCTTGCTTGGTGGTCAGCGCATGCGGATCGCATGCGCATTCGTCGCTACACAGAGAGCTATTCGAAAGATCATAATCGGTATAATCTAACAATTAATGCGATTTTCAGTTCCAGAGGTATTGTGGGTCAGAGAGGAACTCAGCCAACTTCTCATTGTGAGGTCTGTAGAACTCTCTCAGCATTCTCTCTGTCTCTGGCAGCATTGCAAACCTCTCCCTGTACTTCTCTGACTTTATCCAGTCATTTGTGTTCCACTCGTGTCTTTTGGTGAGGGAAGCCTCCATCTGTTGCTTGGTTTGAGGAGGGAGGTCCAGAAACCGCCACACTCTCTCCATGGTTGAGTATGGATTCAGAGACAAATCCTCAGACCTCAGAAAGAGGAACCTTTCTCTGGGAATTACCCTCAACCAACGGGTTATGTGGTAGTAATACATGCCTATGCCGAGCCGCACCCTATAACAGTCAGTTTCTTTGTTGTTTTCTCTTACGTAAGTGACTCTACGTACACACTCATAGAGTAACAAAACCCTTGTATTAGCAACACAGTCACGAAAGTCGTGTACTGCCTCAGCTGTCAAGTTGTGAAAGATTTGCCTCCCATTTTCAATATAGTAACTTGGCACTACAATGTGACGGTTTTTTACCCAGTTTATGTGTGAGCAGAAGTACCAAAAGTCAGAAAAAAGTCTCTTGACAGGATCGCGCATTATTACTATGAATCTTGCAGTTGGTGTCAGCTCATTGACCACAGAAGGTACTACAGACATGTCTGATTCATCTTCAAACTGTTGAAAAGCTTTCCAAAGTGTTGAGGCGCTTGCATCTATTGTAATACTGTGCCGAGATTTAGCAATCTTCTGCGCAGCGCCCTGAAACTGATGGAGGTAAAAGAGGCTGTGTGTGAACTTGTCTTTGTAAGTACCACTGTACTCAGTGAAAGTGTACCAGAATTGCCCTTCTTTTCTGAATGGTTTTGCCACCAATGGGTGTTGTACTATCATCTGATACAGGGATGTAGTACCACACTTGGGGAATCCAGCAAGATAGACAAATGGTAGACAGTAGATCCTCTGCTCAAGCTGACCTTGGCAACGTGTATACGACGTATTAGAGAGAAACTGGCTGACGTCAACTTCCTGAATCACTGACTTGATGGTATCGTTGCTAAACATTGGATACTGCACCTGATAGAAGTATTGGGAAAGGTTGTGTGGTATATGAAGTGAGGAATACCAGCAAGGGTTGCGATACCTCTGTGAGAAGTTTCGTGGAACAAGGTCGAACAGAGCCTTTGTATTGTGTCTCACTCTCTTACACATGGGAGATGTACATATGTCGTGATCTTCACTCACTTCGGCTGGTAGTCTCTGTCCCTCAAATTTTCTCATCCCTATAATGCCAATGAATAGGTATGCATTATTACTAGTTTAGTATGATAATACACGAGGGATGACACAAGTTGTTGTATGTGTGTAGTTGACTTGTTTGCCTTGCCTTTGCCTCGTGGTCTTTTAATGTTTCTATGCATAAGGGTATTAAAAGTCAGAACATACGTTTTACCAACAGGTATAATAGATAGGTCATAAGCATGCATCGCAATACTATCAACACCCCATTCACCTCTATACACCTGTTCGTATGTAGACAATAGAAGCACACCGAAGGTATTGTCTACTAAACAATCCAGCTTTTTGCTTGATAATCAAGCAAAAATATATACCACCAGAAAATTGCCAAATCCCTCCTTGTGCTTACCTGTTATGCACCATGCCTATACATTTTGAATGGACACACAGCCTTTTCAAGCAAAATATATACTCAAAATCAAGCACATTTCTCAAGCAAAGGTTCATCTGCAGGTTGGTAGGTATGAAGACTAAGACTGTGGCAATTCTGTAGCTACAGAATCTGTCATAAATCGTTGCTACAGTCTATTATAGCGACAGAATGGCATTGCCTCTGTCTTCATAATAGCTATAATTATATACACGCCTGACGAGTGAGTGAATTACCTGGCCTTTCACCGTGGAATACCGTGTCTGAAGACAGCAAGTGCACCCCGTAGCAACACGCGAGGACGAAACATATAGACAAAGCTGCGGTAATCTTCTTAGAACGCATCATTGCTGCCTACAGTACACAAGCAGCACTCTGCGCGGGAACATCCGTGTGCGCGGTCGTAGTTTGCGCATGCGTCGTGTTTTGCGCGCGCGCGGTCGTGTGCATAATAATGAACAAGTTATACACATAGATAAAAAGATCTACAGTGGTGCAATGACCGTCTCTGAAGTACATAACATTGTGAGTATAATTATAGAGGATGATTTTTTACTGGGAACGGCACAGTATACATCAGACTAGACGACAAGACTTGCTCGCTTTTGACGAACTGCAAAAAGAAACATGTCCAGTAATAAAGTCCAACATAATAAACAATACCACAAGTTCTATGTAACAATGCTAACACCATGGCAATCTTGAAGTCAAAAAAGAAGCTCCCATAAGAAAGGTATGCCACAGGTAAAGTATGCCGTCCTTTTGGGCTCAGGATAAAAGATAGACTTTAATCAGATGTCTTACAATCACGACAGAATCAGTTAATATTATTAATAGGTTGCCCCTGCCTGTATTAATGATAGTTGCAGACTTACTGAGGTCTGTGTTCCTCATGACGTAGCGATCGATTCTCGTCCTGATGGAGGGAGAGGTGAAGTTGTAGCCCAGTCTAATAATGGACGTGACCTTCTCCAGGTGTTTGGCAATGTCTGACTCTGCACCTGCCCCTCCAGAGAAATACTGTGGTTTCATCGTACGAGAAAGAAACAGTTTGTAAACTCGCACTGTACGATGTAGTTACAGTGGAACCTCCAATAAGGGACCCTCCGAGAGAGGGGCGACCTCTCAACCAAGGTTTCATGTATTATTTGACCTCCGAGATAGGGACAACATTTCTATATACAGTGGACAAACGTTTTGGTCCCATGGTGTCCCTTGTTCGGAGGTTCCACTGTATCACTCTATGCTGACCTGATTTGCCAGTCTCAGTTCAGTGAGAACAGTCTCTTTGTTTTCAGCAAGAGCTTTCATGATGGCCTATAGGGTCACATTAATTGTATATTACTTCAATACTATCTACTGCAGTGCGTGACATGTACATATTATCTTATGGGGAACTTCTCTAATCCGTATATTCAGCAATGGGACAGAAGGAAGTGTCCATTCATGCAAGTCAGGACTATTCTTGGGGGAGAGAACATGGACTAGACCTCCAAATAGTGGACATCCATGACTGTGACAGTTTATTCTCTCCTCTTGGACGGGGGTTCAATTGTATAGCTAGTTCGTGTGCTGTCCTATTGGTACCTAGATTACAAGGATTCAACTGTATAGCTAGTTCGTGTGCTGTCCTATTGGTATCTAGATTGGAGGGGTTCAACTGTATAGCTAGTTCGTGTGTGTGTGTGTTTGTGTGGAAGCTCACAGCGATTCCTTTGCGGGTGATGCGATTTGACTCCAGGTTGAGTACCGTCAGACTAGTGTTGACTCTCAGGACATCTGCCAATTGCTAGATACAATATGTAAGAAAATAGGTTTGCGTGGCATTCTATAGATGAATGTGAGTTGGTATATATACCTTTGCATGGTCCTCTGAGAACCGTATGTTGGCCAGAGATAGTGTTTTGAGGTGAGTGTTTCCGTGAAGAGCTTCCACCAACTGCATATATAGATACATTTACTAGAGGAATGCAACACATTGTTGGGGGGCGAGTGCAAGCAGTTCAATATTTCACACACGTTTTGTCGGTATTTAGAATCATGTACAACATTACGGTATGTGCAGTGCTCAACAGAGCTGTCACATGATATATAAGTTCCCGCATCGAAATGACCAAGGTATGCTCGCCTCGCTCGCCAATTATGAATCCTTCCTAGGTTTATGCATGATTGTGTTTTGTTTAAGCTTCCTTCTCTTCCCTGTTCTAGGTATATAAAATGTGAGTTTTCAGACTGCGGCTACAGTTAGTGCTACAAGTTACATTAACTATAAGCTCACTATTTTCTATTACAAATGTTTAACACTTAAGCAGCCACGGACACATAATGTGTTCAGAGCCTCAAGTCCATAAGAATTAATATAGGGGTTATAATACTAGGCGTTAATACCTACATGACTTTCAGCTTATTTAAAGAGATACCCTTGGCGTCCAAAGGGTTAAGTTAATAGTGAATGCTAATATTATGTCATTGTCTAACCTGAGAAATTAGAGCTGGGTCAAGACGGGTGTGATTGTTGAGATTCAGTTCTGTCAGAGTAGGATCATCAGACTGCAGAATACAGAGTTGAGTGGGATGTGCAATACACAATACTATAAGGGAGGATATAATGTTCAGTACACAAAAGAGTGGAATGTCTTTGAGAGCAAGAGAGAAATTATGGTAGTCATAATTATTTGTACCTTATTAGTTGCAACATTAAGTGCTTATGAGCCGTGTTATTAGGCTAACTGCTAAGATAAAGCGATGGAGAGCTACTCAGGCCAGCGACGAATAAGAGTTATTAAACAATGTATACCTGCAGAGATTCTATTGCATCATCGACATCAGCTTCTTGTGCATCATCTGAGACTTGGGAAGCTATATACAATAGAATGAGGTATATAATAATAGCACGTTAGTAATAATATCACTTTTGGTTTCCTGTTTCCTACGTACGTAAGTAAAAGAAATGACCGGTTTTAAAGTGGGCGTTGGTGTACTGCACATTACATGTATGTAGTAAACACGCCAAACCCGTTTCCTTCCCAACACATTTAAATGTGTAGCTGTGTCAAAGAGAAAGGCAGAAGAAAAGAAATTTACGTTTTCTCTGCCCTTAACACATATACTGTAACAATCCTACTACCTTTCCTTCCTCAACATGTATATACATACATACTTACAAAACACACGTGGGGAAAGAGAGGAAAAACTTTTGTTAACTCTCTTTCTCGTGTCATGCAAAATATTTATAGGGTGTTATGTCCGCAATGCCAAGAGGGTTAACGTCGACCTTTGCCACTTACCACTGGCCATCCCCGGCAAACGAAACATCCCCGGTCGACCTTTCCCCCCGAGGCTCGGGGCACTAAGCTGCCGTCGTGCTACCCTAGTTCCATCGTTCTCCCCCTCCCTCCTCTCTCGCCCTCCGTAGCTCATCTGCCTCGCTGCACCCCTCTTAATACCAGGGGCGCCCCCGTCTGTGTCCTCGGAAGACTTTGAGCGAGAATCAAACATACGAATCTTGTCCTCTGTGATGCTACTGAGGCGTTCCCGTGAGTCCTCGGTGATTCTACTGTCTGGGTGAGGGCTGTGGGAATCGATGGAGGCTGGGCTCTCTGAGCGACTGCTGCCTGCACTCCCGGTGCTGTACTGCCTCTTTCTAGTGGAATTAGTGGGAGTAGGACTGTCTGTTAGTGAGCCTGGGTTGCTGAACCGACTGACCAGAGCTGACACTGACATTGTTAGATATTAGTCAAAGGTAGAATTTGCAGTTGAAGAGAATGGAAACTTCAAGTAACTTGCAGAAGATTTATTCGACAAACTGAGTGAAGTATGGCTCACGATGCAACGATTAGACCTCCTTTAAACAACAAGTGCTCAAACACAGCTCTGCAGATGATACACTCGTCCAAAATCAACTTGCTTTTAACTGGTCGCTTGTGCACAAATATATTACAGCAGGGCCTTTTGCTGATTTAAACAGCTGGTCTCTTAACACGGTCTCTGTACAATTTGGCTCGTGAAGACACTACGAACAAAACCCGACTGATGGACTTGCTGGCCGGGTTGGAGATGAACAGTGTGTTGACTTGTTGAACAGTATGACCTCTGCTGGCAGGCTTGGACTGAAACGACGCGACTGACTTACAGGGCAGGGTCAGGCGGGTTCTGCCAAGGAATTTGTTTCATGTACTGTATTGTCCAGATGCACTGTCAGTGGCAGTAGTGTAGGTATTCTCTCACTCACTATGTCCACGTGTACCACTGCACCAGGGTCTTTATACTGCTATAATAGGCGCTTGGTTCTTAGAGAGCTCTTTGTAGATGTTCACTGGCAGTGTGAAGACTATATATACCAACTACAATAGAACTTTCACAATGGTAGTGCCGAATAGCCGGTAGATGTCAAGATCTACTGCAAAGCAGATACACTACCAGTAGCAGTTTCAGCTTATGCTTTTATACTTTCAAATTTGGCAAGGCTACAAAACAGCTACAGACACTGACTGATTACATCCTGGGACACTAGAAAGTGCGGGGTACTTATATACCAACAGGTGCATCGTGTCCAGTGTAAACACATGTGTTGGAGTGTGTGGGGGTAGGTAGCTACTGAAGTTCCCAGCGCACATTCTAAGTATGTCACAGACTGCCGTCTAGAATGCCTGACTAATCAGCCTTGCATTGATAGAGTTACTTTGAAGAATTATGTGTTGAGCGCTCTACTTTTGACCTGATTCAGTTACACACACGACAGGCAGTGATCAGAAACTCTTTCAAGAAGTGCCAACAAAGAGTCCTCACGTATGTACAGTATGTATGTATGTATTTTGCATGCTGGTTAAATTCCGTGTGTACACATGTAGGACTATGCATTTTCTTACACTGATACAGTGTTCTTTATTCAGATGCACTAAGTAATAGTAGCACTGGATTTAACAGGTATCGGATTATTTGTGAACGAAGTGACGGACGCCACATGTATCTTCTTAAATACGCAGAAACGCCTAGTATATATATATTCTTATGCACTCGTGGAGGCTCTGGGCATATTACAATGTATATATGCCCGTGGCTTGCTAAGGGTTAATAGTCATCTGAATTGCACACTGGACATTTTCGTATGCGCAAACCACCACTCTTACACTCCACACTCTATAGACTTGCTTGCATTCAATATGCAGAAATGGGTATATATATAATTATATAGAATTAAGGTTCATCCACAGATCATTCAAGATCCTACACTGTACACAGTACAATAGCAGCATAATAGGTGCTGCCAGCACTTAATTGTATGATGTTGTCCACCATACTAAACCATGTACATACAGGAGTGGTGTGTGGAGGAAACCAGATGGTGTAGGAGGGTTAACTAATATCTCTACAAATTCCTGTAACCTTATCCTCTCTGCACACGCTGCCTTTGAAAACATGTTTGTATCACCGTGGGACCACGATAGCAAGTACTGTAACCCTCTCTGCGCATGCCCATGCCCACGGAGGGTTAACTATTGTGGCACGTGTATTGTCTGTATGTGTAAGGTTGTTAATATGAGCATATTGCGGTTTAGTGCACGTATGTAACATTATGTGCTCTTAGAGGCCCAGTGTTCAGGCTCCACGGTCATAGTGCTACGGAGTATATATTGTATGCTTACCTAGATAGAGGGGAGTGTGTGAAACGTCTGCACCACTTCCTGTTCTCTCTCTCCCTCCTCCTCCTCCTATTGGATGGTTGTCATCTCCTCTGCTCTTAGACTGTACCACCAGACCGTGCAGACCCAACTCAGCTGCAACCACAACAACAATCACACATACAACCCTGAACAACACACATACCGTAAAAACACACAATTATTTTCCTAGGCAACCGACATGTATGAAGCTATATAGGTATATACTGGGGGATTTTATCAGCCTATACAATCCTACATGTGCAAGCAGGGTTCATATTCAATCATGTCATTTGCCTAGGGATATCCAACAGGGCTCGTATAATTATCTGGGTTCATACATGTCGGTTGCCTAGGTATAATTATCCAACAAATCTGTTGCAGTGCCCAGACAGGACAGCATGAGCCCTGTCATTTTATAACTGTACGTAGCTCATACTAACAAAATGCAAGAGAGACATTACGTACGTACGTACCAGCTAGATCGTTTACATCGTCAGGTTCCAACATTTCCAACATCTCATCAAACTCACTGGTACTGTTGGTGGCACCTCTAGCTGGCTTGCTCTGGGTCGGAATTATACAATTGTACGTATGCATAGGTAACATAGCTGGTATTATTCCTACTAGTATGTAGAGCTGGTTTAACACTTAACCAGCCACAGACACATACATGTGTTCAGAGCCTTCATAAGTCCATAAGAATTTTTTTATGGGGGTTACTACTAGGCGCTAATACTTTATACATTAATTTCTGCTTATTTAAGCAGATACCTGTGGCGTCCAAAGAGTTTACTATTATTGACGCAAGAACATGTTTCATTGTTTTCATAAATGTAGAAAATACGTCTATTCTTGCACTGCAACACGACACACACAGTGTGTAAGAGGGCTGGGAACAGGCTGCAAATGGAGGGCTGGGAACAGGCTGCAAATGGAGGGCTGGGAACAGGCTGCAAATGGAGGGCTGGGAACAGGCTGTAAATGGAGGGCTGGGAACAGGCTGTAAATGGAGGGCTGGGAACAGGCTGTAAATGGAGGGCTGGGAACAGGCTGTAAATGGAGGGCTGGGAACAGGCTGCAAATGGAGGGCTGGGAACAGGCTGCAAATGTTCAAGCCTGTTTAACTAATATTGGTAGCAGAATTAATGGACATAAAGTTCACGCTTTGCTGCATACATAACATTACCTGGAGAAGACTTTTTCACTGATGAGCCACATTTGCATTAACAATCGCACTGTATTTTGGCATAACTATATACCTGCGAGTTACTCTGTTCTTTGGAAGGTTTGGGGGTCCTTTTGACGAAAGGGACATAGTCCTCTCCGACTTTGGACTCGGCAGCCTGTGTCTTCAGATGCTGAAGGAGGCGCGAGCGATCATACGGGCCAGTTGGCTTCTTGCGTGTGTGGGGAGGTATTCGGTCCGACGCAGGCACAAGAACATTCTGTCGGAATAACAACGCGTTACGTAATGAGCATTAAAAATCAGTGGTTTTACAAGTATTTACGGCGGGGAAGAAATGGCGGACGGTATCATGAAAATTGAGCGACCTAGAGACCTAGCAATTATTTATGGTGTATAATCAATATCTGTACTTAGGTTTTACACAAGTTTATTGAACTACGGTAGCATGGTTCACGAATGAAGCGATGTATAAAGGACACAAAAAATGTTGCTCTAAACTTAGAAAAAGTTTACTGAAAATGGTACTTTAATAATTGAATTATCACACTGTGCCCAATCGTTTTGTTCCAACAACTCTAAATGCAACCTTATGTATTGACAAAATGTCCCCGTGGTACATATTATTGTATATATGTACATCCACTAACGTCAGGGTCAATGAGTTCACCCAGCTCCAGTAGCTCAGCCTCAGAGAGACCAGCCAGTTCCAGATCTTCAATGTCTGCCATGGCCGCCTGGAGATCACCGGGGGGAACAGGACGGGTTAATAATGACATCATACTTTACCATTACTAGTTACTATATCGACTATTAACCAAGGAACTGTGCTAATAGGTGTGACATGTGCTACATCGGTAAACATCCGTTCAGAATTTGGGAATCACCAGGAAGATACCCGTAGTATATAGCTGAGGGCTGTTATACTCCATCAGACAATAGTGCAACACTTCGAACCACAGGAATGATCATAATAATTATGATTCAATGGGTCCACGGTATTAGAAAGAAATTTGCCTGTATTTACTCACTCAGAAAATAATGCTAAAAAATCGCAATAGATTGCAGACTGATGCACGAACACTGATCTCCACTGCATTAGAAAGAAAGTAGTAACATCTCCATCAGACACTTGTGTAGGGATTATCGCAGATGTATATCATTTGGACAGATGCACACAATAGCTCTATTGCTCGCTTTTCCCCAAATCAACTTGCTATAATAATATTATACACCTCTGGTGATTTAACACTGCTACAGTGAGAGAGTAAACATCGTGTCTCGCAACATTCCGGTCACAGGAGGAGTGATAGACTAAGTTCCAGTGTTGTCGGACGAAACAAAACACAGACGTAGCAAATCAACGACCTACACAATCACTCTGTGTATTCGCGGAGGGGTTTGGCATGCGGAGAATGACGTGCCTGTGTATACATGCAGTCATGCAGTCATCACAGACAGTGGAACAACTCTCTAAGGACGTCCAACTTTCTCTCCCAAAACAGTTCTTGCGTGCAATACAAATCGAAACCCCTCTAAGAACATGCACTCCCCTCATAAAGACACATTCTCTCTCCCCAAGATCTATACACAGATGGTTACACACAGACTCTTCATTCACAACTTTATTCTGTTTCTCTTCTTGTTAGAGTATCCTCTTTTACAACAGCCGGTAAAAAGTACCATAAATATTATGTACCTACTCGTTTTATGAAGTTTTTATGCTTTTTTCATGGATCAATGTGTATGTACTACATGCCACTATAGTAAACAGAGTATTGGTTAACAATTGCCTGCAGTTAAAGTTCTATAGGAGTTTCTTCTTGTTGTTAGCGGTCTAATGTCGTCAGTGGTAAAGTGTTCCTCAGCAAACATGGACCGTGGGTGAGTATACACTGGACATGTATCCATGACACTCCTCCTAGGCTCTGGGACATGAACAACTTACCACAGCTCTCTCACAGTAATGTGCAGGTCTCAGCCAAGAGCTAATACCGACTAATGCTACACAAGTACCGACTGCCAAGTGGAAGGTCCTACGTTTGTCTTGTACACGTACACACCCACCTGATGGTTGTTAGCCTCTTATACAAGACAGGAGGCTGGTGGACGTGATGTTGTAACTATGAGGGATGGTATGTAACTAGATTTAACCCCCTACCTTGGGGGACTGGTGACACAACACGTGCATGCTTGTTTGCCTCAGTGTTACTAAGGACATACAATCCAGTAAACAGCAACGAATAATTCTCTCATAAACTATCCAAGTGCACCAAGAATGCGGGATACGACTCATTTTCTACACTACAATAATAGGCACCTATAAACAGTGGTATTAGGATCTCAGCAGTGCTGGTATCATACCTTATACATGATATCCTAGCTAATGAATTAATTGATGATATAAGAAACTCGAGATGAGGTGGTAAGCTGATATGTTTGGCTCCCAACCTCTCGAGCAGTGCTAGCTAGCCAATGGACTAACACACGGAAACGCAGTGGCAAGGAAACACACATTCTTAGCTAGTCCGTCTAGGGGCACACCGAGCCCTCTTAGCTAGCTAGCTACAGACATAATTTTAGGGTAAAGTAAACGGATCACTTACGTACCCGTGTATCTACTCGGTTTCTCACACGAGAGGGGAACCCTGAGAAGGAGAGTCTGCAGATCTGAGGGAAGTAAGAATCGCCAAGGCCTAGCCTGAAGGAAACGCACACCACGCCCACGCGTAAGAAATATTGCAGACTCAGCTGTTTTTTGGGGGTTAAACGCGAAATAATCCGATTGGTCGATTACAGATTCGAAACGCGGGAACTCAAAGAGAGAGAAAGAAAGTCAAGTGTGTTTCCGCTTTTGACGCCGTCGGTGGGTCCCTCTAGCGATGGAGAGTTGGTTCGGAGCGGGACTTCGGATACGGATGGCGGTCGGGGTGGAAGAGATAGTCCAAAGCGGTGTCGGCGGCGGAGGAAATGCTTCTACGACGATTCGGGAAACGACCTTCGGCTGAGGGCGCCGGGCGTGAGGTGGGAGGGCGTGAAGAGGCTACGAAAAGACGTGCTGGAGAACGTCAGGAGCAACGTACAGGAGGCGTTTGATAAGATTTACGACCAAATAACCAACGACAGGAGGTAAGAAGCGGCGGTTCATAATTGGATGTTTCCTTGTATGTATGTACGTAGCCATGTCACACAATGTGGGAAGTGGTATATAGGAGCATTACTCTTTTTTGTTTTATGTCACTCCAAAACTCTCTACAGGGCCAGCATCAACCGTCATGTTTTGCCCACAATCAAGACACCGTGTACAAAGAGGACGCGATCACGAGCTAAAACCCAACGCCAATCATCAAATTCTTTCCCTCCTCCTTCCACCCCTCCCCCTCCTCATCCCCTCTCTACCCTCAACAGCTCGCTTGCGACTACGTTCACTCCTCGATCGGTAGCTCGGATGGAACCCGAAATCCCCGCGCAAAACGACGATGATGATTCTAAAACATTTGCCACTAAGCCCCAGAGCTCGTTGCGGGAGGAAACGGATTCGGAGAACAAAGAAAATGTGGTAGATCTCACAGTTAGCCCCGTCCCTTTTCCTAAGAAGGCTCGAAGCAGACCCAAGAGAAATGCTGCTCGGGTAGATGTATTGGTCGAGGGAGATGCGACTGCAGGAAGAAGGGCGACTCAATCGAGCTTACGGGGAGGAGGGAGAGGAGGAACGGTGCAAAGTTCACCTCCAGCCGTTAGGAGAACCACGCGAAATAGAGCCGGGAATGGCGGACGGAAGGCAAAATCCCGAGTGTCGCACACTCTTGAAGTGACCGACGTGGAATCAAACGACACGGATATTGTCAACACCGCGAATAATGACACTGAAAAAGCCCCGGAGAGTGGCCAAACTGGAAGTGGAGCAGAAGTACAGAGAGAGACGGTGGAGGACAGTGTTTCTTCCTCAACTGGCACTGCTGCTGCTGCGAAGACTCCACCGCCGGTGAGACGATCCAATCGCAACGCCGCGAGAACCGTCAGATACTACGACGTATCTCCGTCACACGTGGCATCTCCGCTCCTTCGAACTCAGAGGAGAAACGTTTGCAATATAGCCTCCCCACCACCCACAGACCACCACCACACCTTACCTAGTAGCATCTTTCCCACACATCAAATACACTCCACTACCACCGATTTTCCCCAGCCAAGCAGCTCAGCGGAAGTCCACCAATCACACGTCAGCCCTCCCTGTGAACTTAGTGCCACCAACAAGACTAAGACCGATACACCTCACCCTGTTAGTGTCACTCATTCGCCATCTAACTCACTGTCCACGCGCTCGAAAAACTCCAGTGAAACAGAATCTCCAGATAGCGTCGATAGACTGACAGACAGTTTGAGTCTCTCGGGCAATGTTATGGAATCGCAGCCGGCACCTGGACTCACATCGTCCGCAGACAAAACCATCTGTAGCTCTCCGCCGGGCAAATGGTTCACTACCATGCCTACTGTGGTGAAACAACCCCGCTTGATAGCTCCTGGTACTTCTGCTGGTGCTTCACCTGTCAACCACCTCGCAATCCATGCGGAAGCTGCCCCTAGTGAAATTGGCAATTTTCCACGCGAAGGCATACGTACATCACCAGCAGTTAGGGACGTAACCGGCCGCGTACTCTGTGACACGGTGACGAAAAAACAGGGCGGTGTTTCTGAATCGAGGGACAGTGGCATAAGCTCGGGGTGGTCCAACGGGGGAGGGGCTGAATACAGGGAGTGCAGGAGTGACAGACTATCACTGGGTGTAGCCGGAGGGAAGAGACTTCGCTCCGTGTCCATGGAGAAGATTTCTCTGTCGGAGGTCGAGGCAAAGAGGGTGTCCCTGATGTGCTCTGCTGCCGGGAGGGCTGGCAGTAGCCCTCCAGGAGAGCACGTCGAAGAAGGAGAATTGACTGTTAATGAAGGTGAGGCGCATTTTATGCAAGAAAAACGGCTCTCGGGGGAAAAAGGTGTCCATATGTCCTCAGTTTAGTGTGTCCTTAGAAAGGGGTCCACTGTATACCGTTTTAGTTGACAGTTTTTGGAGAGGGGCTCCACCTCCACCGAGTACTGCATTTTAGTTATAGGGTGCAGAACGATATTCATGGTAGAAAAAAAGGTGCTCCTCTCTAAAATATTACTACATACATTATCGTTATAATTATGTGTAAGCTGCACTTACACGCTCAAATATAATGACCATGTGTGTACACGTGACAGAGGTGGCAATGGCGATTGAAGATGATGTCATTTCTACTGAATCTGATTCTTCACCCAACACCAGTGAGTACTGACTCTACTATAATATAGCACTATTTGTAGCTGAGTCTACAACTGCTGTTTTTGCTACTATATACATTTATTATGTTTCAGTGAGTTACGATGTTGCAGTGTCAAGTGGGTCTGACGAGGCTATGGACGAAGGGTCTACCCCCCGAGAGTACTACCAACAGTCCTACAGACGAGGCCAACAGTGGCGGAAGACAAATGAGCCACCAGATGCTGCAGCGAGGGAGATATGACAACTCGTGAGCAATACTGAACGTTGAAACATAATCGAGTTTATACATAGAAGCACGGTATGTAGTTTGATGTTTCGACTGTCTGACCATCCACCAAGTATGCACGTGTTCAGATTACACGCTTCTTTTTATGTAAAAAAAACACGCTGCCTCCTCGATGTAGCCAGCGAGAGAACTCCTGTTCGGCCACATTCGTTGCACTCTTCGAGGCTATGCCTCTTTCCAATCTTCGCGGTTCCAAGTTGAAAATAGGCTAGGATTGCTACAGGCTAGATACAGTCATTGTATGCTCGCTGTATGCTGAATTTGCCTACTATCATACAGTTAAATACTTCATTATCACAGCTCATGTGAGGAAGATGGGTCCACCCAGGAAGAGGTCTCCTCCCCCAGTTCAGGAGAGGGAGACTGGAGATCCCCAGATGAAGTGGAGAGAGGGGAGGAGGAGGATGAGGACATGGAAGGGTGTCCTGGGGGGAAGAACAACATGGGTGACAGTAGTCCGGGTGAAAGGTCTGTCACCAGACCTGCTGTTCTTCCAACACTGACTTCTGCAGCTCTTGTTGGTAGGTGTACTGTGATACTGTGTACATACAGTACATCGAACATACACTTCCCCCTTCGTTTGAGCATTTTCCCTTGTTCTCCCTCTGCATTCTCTTTGGGCTACATTATGTCTGCTCTGTGCAACATTGTGAGGCTAGAATCCAATTCTATCTTTGCAGGCAATGTTGCATAATAATTGTGAACACATTATTACTGAAATTTCCTCTCCCCTCCTTCTCTCCCTCCCTCCCTCCCTCTCTCCCTCTCTCCCTGCACCAGAGTCCGGTTTGAGGAGGTCACCAGTAGTGAGTCTCAAGAGGACCAAGGCCTCTCCCTGGGCCTTCCTCTCCCACAAGACACACTTCCACGTGAGATCCTACTACCACCTTACTTCTTAGTTCTTTGACTTAGTGTAATTGGGTGGTTCATTTCTACCTTGAATAATTTAGTTGTAGGTATAATACTGTACTTGGGGTTTTTGTACAGTTGTTGTCTTTTCCACTTGTGTATACGTATTGAAATTGGGTACATTGTGATTCCGATGGTTCCAAAGTTTGCTCATGCTCATATTCTTGCTCATATTCTTACTCTGTCACACCACACAGGATGTTCCACTGAAGAATGCCCTACAGAACATGGAGAGCAGACCTACCACCTTCCTCTCCCCTAAATGCCTCCCCCAAGAGACCTGAGGTACACGCGAGACTGCTTGCCTGCCGTCTATTTCTGATACAATCGTGTCTGCTGAGCTGCCCTGTTAGCTGGGCAAAATAGTGCTCTTGCCTATACATATAAAACCAGAGTGCCATGAAGGCATAAAGTGGTTGTTTGTTTGTATTGCTCTGTGTAAGAGTGTCTCTTTCCAGTGTCCTGGGGTTTAGTAAACCCACCCGGGGCAACTTACATAAGTGGTTGGGTTTGTTTGTATTGCCCTGCCTGTATATCCTTGTGTGACGGCAGACATTGAATATGCTCTGTGTGTGATGATGTACATAATGTGTTATGATGGCAGGATGCTGGTAAGACCAACGGCTCCGCTCTGCCTCACTCGTTTCTGGCAAAGAGCTCCCCGCAGCAGATGTTGAAGGCTGAAACCAAAGCTGTGAGTAACTGTGCGTGTGTGTGTGTGTTATTTAAGGTAATGTGGCAGTAGGGGCTGCAATTACAATAGGACCCACTGCTAGAATAGTTACAGTTTTCAGGTTTAGCCTAATTATACTGTATACATGTATATATACTGCCAAATTACCTTTAAACCTAAATGAGAAAGACAATTGTGCAAACTGGTATTTGAACCCATCAGTTTCTGACATATTATTATGCTAACATACTGAGGTTTACACCAAAATACATGTACATATGTATGTAGCTCGATTGAGCACACATCTCCCCACTGCACACCTCTCTCCAGGCCCGGCAGAGGAAGTTGATGGAGCACCTGCAGCGCAAGAGGGACGAGGAGGAGATGAGAAAGAGGGAACTGGAGGAGAAGAGGCTCCACGAGGTTGAGATGAGGAAGAGACGCAATGCCGAGCGTGCCCAGAAGGCCGCCGAGAAGAGGAGACAGGAGGAGAAGAAGAAGTTGAACCAGAGAAAGAAAGCTCAGGTATAACGGTCACCAAACAACATGTCTTTAGGTCATGATTGTGTGGCATGCTTATCCAACTTATGTAGTTGATCGCGATTGAGTGCCTCACTACTATAGTACGTACATTTGTATAAGGCCTGATCTTTACCTCTATCTTTAGTAACAATTCTAAATTTAGCCCGTACAATATTATTATTACCTGCCATCCAGTATAAATCCAAGAACAGGTTTTTGCTGCGATCATACAGTATTTTATATACCAGTCTTCCAGTACCAGGGCAATTAAACTGTGGTGCAAACACTATTGGTAGTGTATGTATATATTGACTGTTGCAGGAGCAGGTTCACGAGCAGCAGTCCAAGCAGCAGCTGAGATTGAATCAACTGAGAGCCGATGAGAGGAAAGAGAAGAGCAAGAAACACAACGAGGTACATGTATACCTGGAACCCTAGGTGTCCTGATTAGTATGGTGTCCTGTTAGTTTTACTGTATGTTGGGTGTCCTGTTACTTTACTATTGGTAAGGTGTCCTGATTAGTATGGTGTCATTTTATGTTGGGTGTCCTGTTAGTTTAATGTTAGTAAGGTGTCCTGATCTGTAGGCTGTCCTATTATGAGGTGTCCTGATCAGTAGCATGCTGTCCTGATCTGTAAGGTGTCCTATTAGTGAGGTGTCCTGATCAGTAAGCTGTCCTGATCGGTAGGCTGTCCTGTTGATAGTGGGTCGTTGTGTGTGTGTTATAGAGAGTGGCGGCAGTATTGGCCAGGAAGAGACAGGAACAGGAGATGAAGGCAAAGAAACTGCAGCAGATTGAAGAGGACCACAGAATGGGCGAAGAGCTATTCAAGCAACGACAAGAGAAAGAGGTCAGCATACATAATATACTGATGTTGTTGAAGTTTCAGAAATTGGCCCAGTATGAATTTTGCACGCTTAAGGTTTTGGTGGTGGTATTGTATGCAGCCACATAAAGGTTTTTATCTGCACCCACAATTGCCAGATTGCCAAACTCTTTCACTAGTTATTTCACGTTTGTAAACAGGAAGAAGAGCGCCAAATGAAGAAAGCAGAAAAGCAGGAGAGGGAGAGAGAGAGGCTGCAAATCAAGGAGACGGAGGAGAGACAAGTCAACAGCAAGGAAGCTGAGGACAAGTCTCAACCTGTGAGGAATTTTTTGGCTGTACTGTATACAGGGGAACCCCTCTAATCCGGGCACTCATTTGACAGAAGTGTCCCAATACTTGTGAAGTGTCCTTTTAGTTCAGAGTTAAATTGCACACATGGACTGTTCTTGGCGGAAAATTGTCCCCTTTATATAGGGATGTGATTGTCTTTACTTTTTCCTTCAGACATATGTGCGTACATATAGGAGATGTGGTGTGTTGGCACTTGTTTTGTGGTTTTGTAGCATGATACAGTACATGTGTATCAGGGTGATGCCATAGAGCCAATAAGCGTGATAATGATTCCTGTGTAGGAGGATTCTTCTAGAGCCAACAAGCCAAAGCCAACTGGTCCAGCGAATCTCAAGAAACAGGATTTCAAAGAGCTTCTGGCCTCTGCCTGTGTGAGTACTCAGTAACTGTTGTGTGTGTGATAATGGCAGTAAGTTGGGAGGAATATTAGTGCAACAAAATAGTTACAATGGGAAATGTTGTGTTTCTGTTTTATGCAGACTATCAACATTCCTACGAATGCTGCTCGTCTCCTCTCTGACTTGAAACTGAGCAATAAGGCTCCTGCTGCCACGGCGACCGTCACCAAGCCCCACCCCGCTCTGCCCTCTGTCCCCATCGTTACCCTCTCAGATTGCCCACCCCCTCAACCACTCAACAACAGTGAAGACTCACTTCTGACATGTCAACCTTCAGACATGAACTCCACGTTCACTATAGAGACTTCGACTGTTGACCACGAAGCTACTACTACTACCACCACTACTACGTCCGTAGTATGTGTAGCCAGTAGCGATGTGCTAGTTACTCCCGACAAGCATTCGAAGAGTGCTGCAAACGACAATCGAGACTCGTACAAGATGACTCCCGCAGAAACCCGTCTCAACAACTACGGCATCGACGATCTCAGCTCCGGGGACTCGACGGACGAAGAAGAGCGCCCGAAGAAACCGATCCCGCCCTGGGCAAAGTCCGATCAGCTGAGACTATTCATGGCCTCACAGGAAGATGGAATCAATTCCGGTCTTGTGAATCCCTCCCTCATTTTCCCTCCGGCTGACCTAATGCCAGAAGTGGACTTGGCTCGAATTTTCCGTCAGAAAAAGAAGCGTTTTTTCCAGCGCTCCAGCTCAGCCAACTGGGATACACCGCCTACCGTTCCTTCAAAGAGAGGGAAATTTGATGGATTTTCTGCCCGCCTTCTTGTATAAACTTGCACGTTTTGTTATTTCCCCCTATTGTTCAGGAGGTCATTATGATATGTAAGGTGTCTGTTGTTGTGGGTGTTTATACATACTGTGTATATTTATGCATTTCATTTTCAATTCGCATAAGGGTATATATAATAGTGCCACACACCGCACTGCACAGGAACTATGAGGTCGCCACGCGCATGCGCAAGTTGAAAAGTTAGACGGTATACGGAGCTGCTTATAGCTAGCTAGCTGCAGCAGAGTTCTGGGTTAGACACTACGTATTTGTGGCTTATCAATGACAGAAATATAAGACTCGTGATGTTCAGTTTTGTCAGCAGCAGTCCCGTTTTGAAGGCTCTCGTTCTTCCTGACGTTACGTTCACCGGACGCAAGATCGGAGCCGGCGCGTACAGCAGCATCGAAGAAGTTGTGCTGTCGGGTGCCGTATGTGCGGGCAAGACCTTCCACGTCACACTCCAGGACTTGTCGCAACTCTCGCGAGCCGATGTAGAGAGTGCTACGCATCAGTTTATCGAGGAACTCCAATTAATGAGCACCCTCCGCCACCCGAACGTCGTCCAGTTTCTCGGCGTGTGTTTAGAACCCGACGGCAGTGCGCACCTTCCCGCGCTAGTGATGGAGCGGCTGACGTGCAGCCTCCATGATCTGCTAGAAACTAACCCCTCGTATCGAGCAAAACCACTCGTTCCCCTCCCTATAAAGTGCTCCATCCTCCAGAACGTTGCTAGCGGTTTGGCCTACCTTCACCACCGCTCGCCGCCTGTAATCCACGGCAACCTGTCCGCACGGAATATCCTACTTGATTCTGCAGGGAGAGCCAAGATAGCTGAAGTCTGTGAAGCTCCATTCATCCAGAACATGGGAACTGCAGCCACTATAGCTAAAGCTTCACTCTACATGCCTCCAGAGGCTTTCTGTTCGACACTCTCCTCCAAGGAAACGTCCAAGACAAAGTCTGTGTATAGCACCAGTATCGACATATTTTCTCTCGGGATAATTGCCATTTTCACACTCGGAGAAGCCTTACCCTGTGAGCCACTTGAGCCTACATACACCGACAAAGAGAGCGGTTTGGTGAAGTATTGCACTGAACTTGAACGAAGGAGCCACTACTTGCACCCAATAACAGACCTATTAAACCAGGGGCACCCGCTACTCACGTTGATTCAAAGCTGTCTTTGCAATAACCCATCAGAGCGACCGACCGTTGATGTGGTGCTGGTTCTTACGGAGCGGGCAAAGAGCATGTGTGCAGGGGGCGGAATGAATAAACTGGAGTTGATAGCGTCTCTTCAGTCTCTACCAGGGAATGAGGTATATACAGTGAAAATGTACAGTGTTGTAGTGTGTAACCCCAGTACTGAGTCTGATCGGAAACCACACAAGCAGATGCTGTCCATACCATAATGCTGCGTAGTTATACAGGTATGTAAAATTATCATGCACTCACGGTTGCTTGCCAGTTCAGCAATGGACAGAAGCTCTAACCACAGAATCCTTTTTACCATATGGTGCATTTAGCTATGGTAGCAGCGGTGTCTGGTTGGTCCATACATGTATATACATCTACGTTCTAGCTAGATTTCCACCATGTTCCCACAGGTGGCGGCTCTCCGGGCTAGGAACCATGAGCTACAGCAAGAACTGGAGACCTGTCGTGCAGAGAAACTGAAACTGGAGGAGCAAATAGTGATGAAAGAGGCCCAACTAGCCACTGCCCCTGAAAGTCTAAGACAGGTATCATGTATGGTATATACTACAATGTAATTCCAACAAGATACAGCGGAGTTTGTCTACTGTGAACGACATAAATTCTAAAAAAATCTCTATGTAAGCCACAAATAATAGGTAGTACTATACAGCACAGTGTGGTATATACACGTCTGTTGGTCTCCAAAATTCAACAATTTTATTATTCTGGTTGCAGGGTGGTATCTTGAGTCAAAAGACAGGGAGATCTCTAAGCTAAGGCCACAACTGCAGTCCTGTCTACTGGAGAAGAAGGCATTACTACCAAGTCAGGATGTTGAACGAACTTCCTCCCTTCCAGAGCACAGTGATAACCACCAGGTAGCTAGTAGCTACTGTACAACAATTGGACAAAAGGTGTTCCCAGTGGTGGTCAATGTGTGTACTAAGTACATTACACCACCCTTAGCCTTTCATTCATGACTGCGTACGTATATATCATGCTTTATTCCCGTGTATTTTTCATCCGATTTGCAGTCTCTATCCAGGGAGAACAAGAGAAGGGCTATGGGTAGTCCAGGGGCACTGTCAACAGCAGGCACTTCTGTCACAAAATCCACGAGCACTTCGGAGAAAACAGTAAGTTTCTATTTACATTTTAAAAGTGCACCAGTGTGATTAGTGTATAGGGATTAGTGTATGTATGTCTATGAGTACAGACCTTTTTGCATGACGTGTCGTAGCAGGACAAACACAAAGCAAGCAAGACAACTATATATACACTACAATTTCTTACAGCTAAGAGTACAGTGCTACCACCAGAAGCCAATCAAGCTCAAATCTCCAACTCGTGGCTCTGCGGCCATCGACGGAAACTTTGCTTACCTCGCTCCATGTGACAGCAATACGGTCTATCGCTACAATGCCATCAACGGGGAAGGGACGGAGTTCCCTAATAGCCTCTATCAAAACTCTGCCGTAGTCACCATAGGCGGTAGGGTAGTACTGATCGGAGGAGCGAGTGAGGGTCACGTCACTAACAAAGTATTGACCTTGCACTACAGTGGGGAATGGGTGGAGGAGTACCCTCCTATGGACTACGGACGCTCACAATGTGCAGCAGTTTGCGTGAGAAACGGAAAACTAAGGAAACACGTGGTTGTGATTGGTGGGAAATCTGAACACGGTTCTCACATGTATGACATTCAATTTCTCAACACTGCCACAAAGTCCTGGTATTCTCTAACCCCTCTACCGCAATCTCCCCACATTCCTTCTGCTACTCTATGTGGAAATACACTCTATGTGATTGGAAACGTTGGCAAGGCGTACTCTTCCTCCATCCAAAGTCTAACATCTTATAATGATGACGAATCTAATCCGCCACCTGCTAGCCTAGTTTGGAAGGCCCTCCCTCCTCTCCCAGTGATTCACGTTGCTGTTGCATCACTCCGTGGACAGCTAGTGTTGATAGGAGGCTGCAGAGCTGACGGAGCCAGTGTCAGCTCTGCAGTATACCAGCTGGTGGGAGGAGTTGAGTGGATTGAGATTGGATGTACACTTGTTCCTAGGAGGGGGAGTCTGACTGCTTGTCCGTCACCAGACAAGATCATTGTACTTGGAGGAGTAGGGGCTGGGAACACTGTGGAACTGTGCAATGCCGACTAACTCGTTCATTAGCTGATGACACTCATTCATATTGTGTAATTTGCAGAAACCTTTGCTGGACAATGCATTACTTCCCCGGATAGCGGAGAATTCCAGAAAACGGACACTGTGTGCACCAAACAGCATTTTCCAATTGGCGTCCTCCTTCAACCTTTTCAGAAATTTTGTAGTTCACAATTCTGTGCTGTTCAATGCTCTGTGCTTTACGTGCTGCTGCTGTAACTATGAACTGTTTGCACATGCGCGCATTTAGAATGACGTGATTTCTGGAGGAATCCGTATGATTATTATTTTGTTGAGGACGTGACCTCGCCGTCTGTTCGGTAAACGGCGCCAGGTGAGAAGTCGAAAAAGTCGCGCGTGACCACTCTCGGCGCAACGGGCGCACTATGCAGTAGGGCATCTTTTTTTGGGAGGGGGAGGGGGTTATATTATAGCAACTCCTTTTTTGTGTCCGAGTGGATGCTGTCCGACTAGGACTAAAGGCCTATGCGTGGCAGGGCGATAGATGTATACGATTTTGCAGCCAGTTGTGATTGCATGCAGGTAAAAGTGTGTCTCACGAATGCCCATGCGTCGTATAAACGACGAGACAGTAAAAGCCGTTGATATGCGAGGCCAGCAAAATAGCTATTACTTAGATGTGACACACATGCCCTCCGGCGGTATGCTGATTCTAAAAGTTTCGATATAGGCTTGCGACAAATACGGTTGTGCTAACAAACTAACTGGGATTCTAATTGTGGTTGATAAGGATTACAGTTCGGCACGCGAAGCCTTCTTCGGGCGGCAGCCGGGACGCCCCGAGTCCTAACACGGACGCATGTTTCCTTTCGATTTGTGCACCGAGGTATGCTAATCTTGGAGACTTGTGGAAGAATCTGAACCGTACAGCCTCACATTAGATACCATTAGCTATGGCCATCGTGTTTGTGTAGATGCTGCATGCGTAACATACCACGATGTGCATTAGCGACTCTATCGCTGCTTGGCAACAGACAGAAGCTTGAGCATCAAAATCGAAGTTTCGCTGAGGTAGCTGTATAGGGGCTGCACTGTGAGCAGTGCGTGTGCTATAAAAGCAGCGACACAGTTATCCCCGCATTCACGAGAGCTATTTTCTCTTGTTCATAACCACATCACAACCCATGGCTCGCCGCATTGCCTCCATCGCTGTGCTGCTGTGTGCGGTGCAAGCGACGCTGTGCCAGACATTTGACTGCGCTACAAGGTCAGGCCAACTTGCTTTCCTGCAGAATGGCGCCGAGAGTGACCCGGCCTGCTACAATCCAATCATCGACCTGATAGTATCTGGCAGAAATCCAACTCCCGCTCAGACTGAGGACGTACGTAATTATGCGTGCCAGCCGCGCTCCATGCAGCCGCTCTATGGGCTCTTTTGGAGGAGGTTCCACCCTAATTTTATTGCGCATTGCGTGTAGCTACTCAAAGAGGTAATGATACCCTCTAGCATAAGAGGTAATGTTTTTTTGCAGGTATGTCGAGAGAGCTGTGCAGGAGTTATGCTGGCTTTTTTGCGCAGCACCAGAGACTGCCGTGAAGACGAAGGTGTTCAACGAAGCGCCCATTACGTAGAGAATGAGTTGTGCGCCTACAAGGACGGCGAGGGTAAACCCGAGACCAGTTGTGCGCTGCAAAGCGAGTCCGATATACGTGTTCTTCTTGCTTGCTTCCGTTGGTGGTACTCGGGAGGAGGAAGCGAATGCCCGGCCCTTTTCCCTGGCGTTCCCGTTGCTGCGCCGTCCTGCGCTGATGCGCTGAGGACTGCAGTTGACGAGTACGGGTGCTGCCTGCAGAACCTGTTCGGCACAGAAGAGTCCATCGAAACAGTGACAAGGTAAGATCTGCGTTTGCCACGCGTGCGCCGAACGTTGATCCCATTGCGCATGCCCAGAGCATTGAAAAGGCGTGTGCGCACGCGGAGTACGGAGCGCAAAGCGTCAATGAGATATAGCATGTGCGAAAACCATCCTCCTGCATGGCTGAATGTGTTTTTGTTATCGGTGTTATGTTGTCTTCAATAAAGGTATATTGTACAGATGATACCACCTGGTACGGACGTGCCCAGTGGTTTTGAAATCGACGTCACAGATCCAAATCTGTACAATGCCTGCGGTGTCCGTCTCCCTGAAATGTGCGAGAGCCAGAGTGACACAGTCACATCTGCTGCTGCTGCTCCCGGTCTTGCACTGCCACCAGTGGTAGCTCTACTGTTTGGAACATTGCTGGCCAAACTGTTTTCCTAACTGTAGCTAGAATAATGCATGATAGCTAGTTTAGTCTAATAATCATTGTTTCATACATTGTGACTGTAGCTAGAATGATCCCAAAAACTGTGTAAATTACCTCTCTCAACTGGCTCTGGGGAAATTTCAGGGGCTAGCTTCCGCTGGCGTGAAAATAACCAGGGGGCATTATCAGTGGCAGTTGGGGTCTTCTGCTCTGTATGAATTCCTATAGCCGTGCGAAATCTTTGCACGGCACACTTTTACCGAGTTGGTTATGTTATAGCGTTTCGCCCTCACTCCACCTCGGCAGGGCGCAACCGACGCAGACGGCGCGGCGGCGTGAGCCGGCCGTATTTCGGAGCATGCGCAATGCGTGCATATAAATTACTAGTAGGCGAATGTTTTGCGAGCGGGAGCGAGCACTGACTGTATCTTCACGAGCCATCATAGCAGCGTACACGTGTAGAAGCGTGTTATCCTGACGCATGCGCAGGTAGCACATGTTAATTTCGGATAAAAAGAAGCGCGTAACGAAGCCGCGCATGAGCGGTATATATAGCGCCGTTCGGAGCTCGCTTCCGCTCGCCAATAAAACGCGACAACCCGCGATATCCGTCTCATTGTTTGCACGCAAAACTTTGCCCGCTAAAAAACATGCAACGTGTTGTCTTTGTCGTCGTTCTGCTGTGTGTGGGGCAGTGGGCACTAGGCCAAGATTTTGACTGCAGCACCAGTGAAGGCCAAGATGCTTACCTGATAAGCCAAACGGCTCCCGAGTGCTACAATCCCTTACTCGGCTTGCGAGTGGGCACGCAACCTACTGCTGCTGAAATTGAATTCGTAAGTGAACACCCGCAATTTTATTTTTTCAACAGACAAACTTGTATTTTTTTGGCTTCAAGGATGCGTAAGCGGATGTGTAAGACAAGTTGTAGAGTTCTTGCAGAGCACGGAAGAGTGCCGCAACAACGCGACCGTGCAGGGTGGCGTTGATTACCTGCAGCACCAGCTTTGCGCCTACAAAGACGGCAAAGACCCAGCGACAAGTTGTGCCCTTGAAGTGTATAATCCCGACATCGACTACCTTGTCGAGTCTTGCATCGCATGGTGGTATCCAGAACCAGTGGACAAAACGAAGTGTCCCCCCCGTACTACCCCTAACGCGACCATGGACTGCAACGAAGCATTGAAGACTGCCACTGAAACGGATTTGGGTTGCTGCTACAAGTTCCTTGGCTCGGAACTGGCGATCGCCGAAGCAACAAGGTTGGTAGCTAACTGCAGCATGGGCGTATTTTAACATGCATTCGTGGTGCAAGGTCTGTTATAGGGCTAAAATCCATCCCAGTGGCATTCCTTTCAGCTTGAATCACCATGGACTAGTAGGAGAGACAACATGAATAATGTACCACCCACTTTGTTATTTCTATTAACTAGGCAGTGAATGGGTCATAGACTGTGAGATGAGATGTGGAATGTGATAGTTGACATAGTGATTATAGAGACTGAGACATTAGTCATAGATTGTGAGATGGGATTTGGGTTATAGTCTGCATATGTGGTATACCTGATCAAAGAGACTGAGGCACTAGTCATAGATTGTGGGATGGAATGTGGAGGGTTAGTCAGCAGTGGAACCTCCGAACTAGGGACACTATGGGACCAACAATATTTGTCCTTTGTATAATATAGAGAGGTTGTCCCTACCTCTGAGGTAAAATAGTATTAGGATGGGTTGAAACATATGTCCTTTGAAGAGGGCTACCTGTGAGATGAGATGTGGAGTGTGATAGTCAGCACATGAAGTATACCTGATTATAGAGAATGTCAGCCAGCAGTGTGACATGTTTTACATTGAACATACAAATTATACTGGCAAGCCACAGTGGCAAGCCACTGATAATCAGACACTGAAGTGTCTTCATCGAGTTTTTTTCAGAACCAGCTAGTACATACGTAGCTGCTGATACAATTGATAACTGCCAAAACGTGGCAGGTGGTGGGCTTGTGAAGAATAAATATTGTTTTTTGGACACGGGTATGAATGTGGAAAAACCTAGCTTCTACCTTATACCTACCTTTACAGGGCAGTCGAAATGGGTCTGGAGGACTATGATTATGTTGTCCCTGATGATTTGGAGATTGACGTGACTGATCCAGCACTGTTTGATGTCTGCGGTGTCTCCTTCCCTGATATGTGTAAAAGCCAGCTGACTATGACAGATTCTGCTCCAAGTCTGGTGGCCACACCACTGATAGCTATCCTGCTGGCCATCGTAGCCAAACTGTTTGCTTAATAGAAGCAACATGTTAAAAATTCACTTAGGAGCATGGGTGCTCACACTACTTTAAAAAGACTGTTTAGTACGAGTATGGAGTAGCACGAAAAGTACTGAAGTGCAAACCATCGGAGAACCGCGCATGCGCGATACCGTTAAAATTGATGGGCTGGGCTATTATAATTATATATGCGTGGTCTCCCGCTATAGTATAGCTCGCGCAGAGTCTGACACGCGGGATAGCTACAGTAGTAGATAGCATGCGGGAGTCGATACACGCCCTTCGTTGTGACTTCTTGGCCCCAAGATACACATAGCTGAGCAAGCGTCCGTGGTAGGGCCGCAGCCGCCCGGAAGAAGGCTTCGCGTGCCGAACTATAATGAACGGCTCTAATGTGCGTTTAGAGTTCTATACGTGATTTATGGGAACGAGGGGTCTCGAGGCCACAACCTGAGTTCCCATAAGTCGTGTATAGAACGATAGGGCACACATTATGTGTTATATTGTGACTCTGTAGCAGTCGTCGACCTCTAGCGAGAGAAATACGACTGCGTAGCCTACTACCCATGCGCACGTGCGCACTCGCTGGCTTCTCGAGCGAGTTCTCTGTTCTCCAGGCTACGGTAATCGAACAAGGTCGTGATGGTGGCTCTTTCTCCCTCAGAGAAACTCGTTTCATGGGTCGCTGGGCCGTTTGACCGGTCGGTGTGCCGCGGCTCGCTTGCCACTGGGAGCTGAATGAAGGGGTGTGGTCGCCTCAGCCATCCCTCGCCTCTACAGACTCTACAGAACAGTCACCCTTCGCCTCTAAAGCCTCTACAGAACCGTTTTTGTCTACACTATGGGTATATACGATACTGATCAATGAAAGTGCAAACCCTCGGTGAACTGCGCATGTGCGGTATACCACTAATTGATGGGCTGGGCTTTTTATGCCTTTACTGGTGGTATCCCGCTAGTAGCTCGCGGACAGTCTGGCACGGGCTAGCTACAGTAGTAAATAGCATGCGGGAGTCGATACATGCCCTTCGTTGTGACTTGTTGTGCCTTCAAGACACACAGAGCGAACGGACGCGGTCGAGGTAAGCCTGTGCTAATTTACATATTATAATATATATATATATATTTTTTTTTGAGAAGTAAACGATACAATAGATAAGCAAAAACAAAGAACAAACAAACAAATAGACAAAATACAACAACAAAAAAACAACAACAACAACAACAAAAACAACAAAGAAAAACGCTAAATAATACTGTCAATGTGCGGGGGAGGCGTTGGGCAACGTGTTGAATTGTGAAGCCACAGAGTTTGCATTTCCTCTCCAGAGGGGGACTAAATAAATTAGAAGGAAATGCGACAGGAAAAGAAAAGCGAGGAAGGGGGGAGCACCGGGACAGCTGGGGGGGAAGTCGGGGAAAATGGCGGGAGGTTGGGAGTCAATAGGGGGGACGCAGGGCGAAGGGGCAACAGGGAGAAAGGGGCAATCGCGGGGCCGGCTGGCGAAAGACGGCCCGGGGCGGGGCGGGGGCCAGGGGGCCCCCCCCCAGGGCAATAGCGCACGTTGGAAGAGGT